GTCACAGTGAATCATAATAATAATAATAATATTAAAAATGTCAAAAAATATCAGAGGGAAATGTCTAAATAGTGAAAATCAATATATTACATCACGCGCAAGAAGTCAAGAGGTAAAGTGGATGACAACTGCCTTTATTAGCTGCCCAGAGTTACGACGGTACCGTAAACTGTGATGTGAATTCCATTCGCAGTGAATTTAATGGCCACATCTTTGAGAAGGACAGACTAAAAAAGCTCTCTATTTGTGTTTGTTGACAAGGTATTATTATTATAAGAGGAGGCCATGGGAGTTTTTGGACCGGTGTGTGAACTCAGCTTCGTTCGGGCGCTCCCTACCTGCCGGTTAACTAACATTAGCTAGCAGCTGAAGTCAAACACAAACAGCAGGAGCAGATGAATGAGTGTGCGATCTTTTCTGTTCTGTCTGTGCTGATACTGATAATCTAAGTGAATATCTGTGCTTTACTTACCTGAACCCTCTGGTACTGCCATTGCATAGATATGTGGGATGTTTTGAATATACAGTACATATCAGTGACATCCTTGCAGGTGGTGCAGGCATTTTATTATACTTGCTCAACTATTCTGGATGTGTTCACACATGATTCCAAGATTTTTACTCAACTTAGCAGTTTAGCTATGTAATTTGAAGTAGCTATAATCATTTTCTTTGGCTGCCCCACTACAGTGGCTGAGTGATCATATTTCCACCACTCGTCAGCTGACTGATATGTTACTGAGTTTGACTTTCCGGCGCAAACAGGTGCCATTAGGGGGAGGTGTTTACAGGCTGCAGTGTTGCCAACTTAGCGTGTTGTTGCTAGATTTAGAGACTTTTTTTCAAACAAGACTAGGTATAAACCTGGCCCATGGCTCCACCGTGTATTGATGCCAACTGGGGTCTTAGGGCTACATCTCCTCTGGTTTCCCAGCTGCTCTGGAAGGGAAGGGAGGGAAGTGGAGGAGTGCTTCCAATACACTGAGCCTCACCTCTACTACGGCAAATAAACTACTTTCATTACATGTATCATTATTACTAAAGGAGGCAGTGATACAGTGTTAGTGTGTGTGCTAATATAAATTCTTGCTCTCTGTACTTACGAGGCTTTTGCCCGTATCTGCAAGTTGACAGGATTGGTTCCTTAGGATATGACATATGAAACCCTGGCTGTCTGAAGACGCTTTTTTGAGACTTATTGGGAAATACACAATCATTGCGATGGCTGCAAATTTTGCTCATGATGTGCCTTGTATTACATAAAAAAACATGATGTTTACAAAAAAACCAATCTGTTTTTAAAGTGTGGTCTACATGATATGACATGAATGCAGCACTAGACAGAGTGTTTAGACAGCAGTTCAGGAGCAGGGAATTATCTTTGAGGCTCAGTTTATGTATGCATGTTGAGGCCCAAGTGATGAATACGAGTGTCTCCATCTGTGGTTTGCGGACTGGTAATCTTCCAACATGGAGGAACTTCCTGGTGCTCCTGTTGATGTCAAACTGTCAGCCCGCTGTCAACCTGGCAGCTCATCGCATCCCAGTGTTTTTCTGGATTGGCTCTGATTTGATGTTAGCTCTGTCAGTCAGATAAAACGGGAAGGCGATTGTAGACTCGACTTTAGGGCTCAGCCTGGTTGCTAGGCAACAGAGGAAAGACCTCCTCGGCAGGTCACTAGGCCTGTCTTTCAGTAGTGTGTACGTATATGTGTGTGTGTGTGTGTGTGTGTGTGTGTGTGTGTGTGTGTGTGTGTGTGTGTGTGATGGAGCAGATTTATGAACAAAAGGCTGTAAAGTGTGACTGCCTTCTTCACTGTGCATTCTGCTGCTCCACTTCTCTTCTTTCTGGTTTTCTGACACACATGAATTCTCCACCCCCTCACATTGCCTCAAACCCAGCTGTGCCCCCATCCCATCCTCCCTGCCCACACACACACACACACACACACACACACACACACACACACACACACACACACACACACACAGCCTCTTTCTTTGTTTGACTTTATTTCTTTATCACTCTGTCTTTCCCTCTTGTCCTCCATCTCATTGTCCTCTTCTTTCTCTCCTCTTGTTTCCCTTCTTTAAATCACTCTCCTCACAGTTTGTCTGCTCAATGTGCACGAGTTCAACCATGCTGTGTACCCTGTTTACCACCTTCACACACTATTAGTTCTGTCTGTGGTTCAGTATCTGTCACTATTTTGAGTTAAAACTGCACTAACTGAAATTTACTGTGGGTCCAGGTGTTCGCTGATGTGACCCACTCTCTCTCCTGCACAAATAAACACACGCACATATGCGCAGACATAAGCTCTGTTGGTTAACTGCTTGAAACCTGTGGAAAGTGCTGCCAGTGGCCACGCTGCCTCATGAAAATGTAACGAGAATGTGAATAATTAAGATTAAACTAGAGCGTAATGTCACCCTGTGCATGTGTTTGTGTCTGTATCTGTGCGTGCGTTTGTGTGTGTTTTGTTCTCTTTTAATATGAAGTCCCTGCCGTTACATTAGGTGTGTTAATATTTGCTTAATCAGTTTGGCGTGTTTGATAAAAATGTGAAATGTGTGAACATCTTAATTCCATTTTAGTTGGAACTACAAGTCACTTTAAAATGGAAGTGGTTAAAATCAGCACTACATGAGATTTTTATGTGAAAATACGTGATCAAACCACGAAGTCGGGCTGCAGTGGAGCAGATTGTTCCTCACTGATCTGCCCTATTTCTCTAAATGGAGTTCTGGTGTCGGTCATGTTCACGTCTTCATCTGTAGGAAGTGCTTTATCAAAATTTAAAGGGATGGATTGTACTTTATATCTGACCCAGAGTGAGACAAACTCATGGATGGTTTTTCTCACGACTCTGTTTGCAGTTTAAAGGTATACTGATCTAATCTTTGCTCAGCTGGATCAGTAGCTGCTCCGCTCAATGAGAGCAAACATACCTTTTCCACCACTGAAGGTTTATTACTCGATTCTCATTAGTCTGCTGCTCACTTTTCACTACAGCTACAAACACTTTTAACTTAAGTTTCTCATTATTGTTTAATTTGCAGATTACTTTCTCGATTAATCGTTTGGCATCTAAAATGTTACAACATACTGAAAGATGCAGATCGCAGTTTCTTAAGGCCCAAGGTGTCGTCTTCATCTTGCTTGTTTTGTCCAACCAATCATCCAAAACCTAAATATATTTAATTTACAAAAACACAAAATGGAGAAAAAGCAGCAATTTCTTACAGTTACGAAGCTGTAACAAGGAAATGTTTGGTGTTTTTGATGATGAATGACATAATTATTATTTTTATTAGGACAAAACATTTACATGCATGCACCCGTCACCCACACACACATTTACTGAGTGACTGACTTTACTTTCAGACTGACACTTGAGTGAAATTAAGGCAAATTTCTCTACCGTTCCTTGAAGTGTAAAAGAAAGGGAGGTTCGTCCTTTCAGTTCCTTAGTACTACTCACTGACCCAGGAGATTTGCAAATGTCAGATACATCCGATGGTGAAATTCAGAAAACAGCAGTTAATGGTTTAGGAGGGAGAGACTTAAAATAATGAAGACAAAAAATTAACTAATGATGTACAATACCAAAACACATGCCCCACCACAGCCAGAGTATTAATTTGAGGCATTTTAAAGACAAAGCAAAGCCAAACATTCACTGGTTTTAGCTTCTGAAATGTGAATATATTGCTGGTTGTCTTTGTCCTCTATGACAGCAAACTGAAGCTATTTGGGTTTTGAACTGTTGGTTGGACTAAACAAGCTATTTGAGTATGTCAGCTTGGACTTGAGATTGTAATTGACATTTTCTGTCCTTTTTTATAGACCAAACTAATAAAAAAAAAAAAGAAAAAAAAAGAAGAAAATAATCAGGAGATGAATCAATCAGAATCTCTTCTACAAAACTCCCGTCTACATTTTGGCAGCTAATGGTATTTTGGATCTGTCTCAGCATTCGAAAGCCGGCTCATTAAGACAGATGCCCCTTCAAAAAGCACATGATTCATAGAAAGTTTCATATTGTGAATGACTTGTTTATCACTTAAAGTACATTTACTTTCTCACATGAGACCTGACAACCACATGTGGCTTTATCATGAATTTATTTTAGCGCGAAAGATCTTGAAACCACATGTGACTCTGGTTTTCAGATGTCAAATTTTTTTCACATCACATCTGAAGTGGTGAAAGTTATTGAGGTTGTCTCTAAGCGTGTTTAACCTTTACACTTTACACAATTTTTATTTAAATTTTTTTTTTTATCGAGATTTGTTTTGTAAAACTTTTGTAAAAAAAAATCCCTGACCAATAATTTGAATTAACAACTTCAAGCATGCACCTTAGACATTTGCTGTTTTACCAGCTAGTTTCCATCTTCAGTGGATTTTTAATGTTTTAATGTGTCTTTTTGTTTTAGCTGATTGTACCATGGAAGATGGTCATGAAGACAAATGCTCTGTGTTTCTGTCTTCAGCACCAGCGACTGAACATCCATCCAAAGATCTTACACATTATTTGTCCTTTATAGTTTTCTTATCAAGCCGGTCAGCATCCAAGTACTATATTAGGCTGAGAGCAGGCAGGGTATTTATTCCAGTCAGTCACTACGCTGAATGATTTTAGCATGACTTTCCACAGCGAGCAGGAAGTCAAATCAGGTGCCAACGTGGGATGTTTCCTGTGGAAGATTTAATGTTATGGGGTGTGATTATGAGATGTCCCACCATGCTGTAGTTAAATTTAATATCATCTAAACTGAAGCAATAACAAACTAAATATAGATGTCGACATCAAGCAAGGGACAAATGGAGAACTGCGGAAATATGAGTAGCCTATTGTGCAGTGACAAATGCCACATAATTGACATATTGATTCATCTCTTTGTTGCTATTGTGTCGCCTGATTTGGCAATCGCAAGGAAGCCTGAATTGATATTTTGCTCTTTTTTTTTCTCTCTCTCTCTCTCCCTCCCCAGTGTGCTGTTTTGTTGTCCATAAGCGCTGTCATGAGTTTGTCACCTTTTCTTGTCCGGGGGCGGACAAGGGACCTGCCTCTGACGTAAGTAAAAAAAGAAAAAAACAAAAAAAAACACACACACAGCTACACAACTTGCTTTATTTAATTCTTTATTTTTAGTCAGACATGAAAAAAAGTTTGGGATGCACAGTGAAGCAGATCACTCCACTCATGTGATCAAGTTAAATATTCATTACGAATGATGCCTGTTAATAACATCAGCGAGGTCAGCACTGGCCTTTGGTTTGTGTGTGTGTGTGTGTGTGTGTGTGTGTGTGTGTGTGTGTGTGTACTTTCATGTAGTTTCCGGTATGCATGCATACTTTTTTGTCTTTCTACATATGTGAGGACCATGAGGCCTCCAACCTAAATCTAATAACATTCACATTAACCTGATAACATTAATCTTAAAACTAGAAAAAGTCTTATCCTTCAGCCTTCCTTTGGAGCATGTCACTCTACAATACAACACACACACACACACACACACACACACACACACACACACACACACACACACACACAGAAGTGACCTCTTGTCTTCTCTCCAGCTGACCTATTGGCTCCAAATCACATTGAGACATGTCAGTAAAGAGAAAATGTGCTGCCTGGCAGCCTCAGGTTAATGAGCCGATATCTCTTCATTCACACACACACACACACACAAACACACACACACATACACACACACATACACACACACACAGAGGCCATTTGTGAGTCAGCATCGGTTTTATAGTCATATTCACTGATGTTTGTTAATCTCATTTTCTTTCTTTGTTTTTGTTATATCACCAAAGCTGTTTCGTTGTTTCCTATTTTTGTTCATCCTCCAAACTCACTCAATCAGGTCTCCATTTTCTCTCTGGCTCTCAATATTTTCATTTTTGCTCTCTGTCATAATGGAGACAATAATTAGAGGATCAGACAAAATCATAAATCCCATTCACCTCTATTGTGTTGGGACGGGATCACAAATCTGAGACAGATGCACTATATGGCCAAAGTGCACTTTTGTTGTTTAAGCCCCTTATGGCTTATTCACATTAGAGCTTAAAAACAGCTTTTTCACACGCCTCCTTGTTATTCTGAGTGTGCGGTGCGTTGTGACAGCTCTGCGCAGATGTCTGCGGTGTGCCGAACGGAGCAGGGTTGCACTGAAAGTTCAAATTTGTTGAACTTTGACATGATAATGCTGCATGATGCTATTGTTGCAATCTACTGCTTGCAACAGTAGCTCTGTAGCTTAGTTGGAACCAGTGCAGAATGATGCAAGTCGTGATGTGAATTCATCTTTAGTTACAGTTAAGGGAAACCATAATGATGTAAGTAAAGCTCCTTATTTATGACAAACAGGCAAAGGTCTTCCTGTGCTCACAGCCAGGTCCTGGATTGGTTTTCCAAGTTTGATGTGCACCAACCACAACCTTATCACGATTGGGATGAACTGGAGCCTGGACTGAGAGCCAGGCCTCGTCACCTAACATCAGTGGCCGACCTGAACAGTGCTCTTGTGGCTAAATGGGGAGTAAATCCCTGCAGCCATGTTCCATAGTGTTTTGAAAAGCCTTCCCAGATAAGTGGACGTTATGTGGTTTTATTATGGTTTTAGCATGCCTGAAACACTCTGATGTGCACATATTTTATTTGGGAGTCTGCATACTTTTGGCAGATAGTTTAGCTTTTGGGCAAACAAAACCTTAAGTATCTGCAGGGTTAGATACTTCTAGAAGTAAGTGAGAACATGTTTTCGTCTTTCTAATTTGGGTGAACTGACTTTTTAAATGCTGCCTAACAGGACAACTGAGAAGACCCGAGCACCACAGATGCAAGAACTCTACTGAAACCCCCTGGATTACTGGAAAACTGAACTCAAGTGTCTGCTCTCTCCTCTCTGTGTTTCTGCCTCTGCAGGATCCTCGTAGTAAACACAAGTTTAAGGTCCACACTTACTCCAGCCCCACCTTCTGTGACCACTGTGGCTCCCTCCTCTACGGGCTGATACACCAGGGCATGAAATGTGACCGTAAGTACTCAAACATCTGTGTGTGTGTGTGTGTGTGTGTGTGTGTATGCGCGACTGAGCCTGCACAAATGTACATTTGTGCTTTAGAGGCCATAATGACAACTTAGGGTAGCATCTCCACTATTTAGTGTTTAAAACCCCTACAAGCAAGATGACTGGGCTTCTAGGAAAATACAATAAATAAGGGTTGTGTTGGGGTCAAAATGTCTCTCACCAATGTCCTTTCTTTTGCTTTTGACACAGTCTGAGATGTTGCCTTTTAATTGCTTAACTTTTGTTGTTTTTACATGTGTTTTATATCTTTTTTAACTTTTGATGTGAGATTTTATTTCTTTTGTGTATTTTATTGTTATTGTGCAGCAGTTTGGTCAACAGTGTTGTTTTTAAAAAGTGCTTTGTAAATAAAATTGGACCGGATTGTCACAACCAGTCTTTTATTTTGTATAGGATTTAAGGATCACTAGCAGATCAACTGTAAAAAGTGCACTGTCACTGTTGATTTAGTCACTTTTGATTTCGTAGTTTTTTTTCTTTGCCTTTTGTATCATTTCTTCTTTTTCTCTGATTTTCTCAGTTCAAGACAAGTCCTGAAAAATGATCTACAGCAAAGTAATTGTGCCATCTTTTTACAGTAAATGTGTAAGGATGCAACTTTTAGGATGTCATAGGTCGCTTTGACGCTCGACCTGTTTGGTTTGGTTAAAAAACATATCTGGTACATTTGTCCGGTCAGTGAGGTTTTATCTGGGTCTGGTGTGAAACCGTGGTGGGTGTGGACCCCGAACAGCTGGGCCAAGACTGGTTGATCACTTGATCAAACCTCTGGTACGGTTGGTTTGTGGTCTGAAAGCACAAAACAGATCAAGCTCAGGATGTTTTGATTGTAGACATGTGATTTTAACATGAACTGAAACATGAAACTATTCTGGTTTTCCACCTGTACCTTGGATAACCCTGGTTAGGGTTATTCACAACATACAGTCAATTTGTAGCTTAACAAGACTGAGTCAAAACTTAGTATAAGGCTAGACTGGATAAGGTCAATGTATGAAATTGACGACGTAGTTGAAAACTGTTGTGGAACCAGTAAATGGTGGAAATATGATCATTCAACTATGATCAGTCAGTCAGTCAGTCACAGACATTCACAATAATAGGGCTAGAGTTGTGGTGCAGCCAAAACTACAAATTTCTTCTGTTATGTTATTTCTTCATGAACTCTTTGTGACACCAGAGAACTTAAATAGACACATTAGAAGAATTAAAATGCTGCTGTCATTCACTAGAATTTGATTTCCCCTTGTGGCTCCTGGTGACAATCACAAATACTTTTTGTTTGCTTCTATTGGTTTGTTTGTAAAAAAAAAAAAAAAAAAAAAAAAAAAGTAAGTGTGAACACAAAATGAAACCCAAACTAAAATGCAGAATTGCCTCATTTATTCCCTTGGTCTGGACAAAATGAACGGAGTCATAAAGTTAACAGGCCTTCGATATTCTAAACCATTTGGCTCTGACATGCAAATTTAATGAAAATGCAAAAAAAAGTAGTGATCAAAGTCCTCAGCACATAGAAGTCCTCACTTTTACCTGTATTACCTGTTTATATACTCCCGACAAAATGTGAAGTCTGTCTAGTTAAAAGACAATTAAATTAGTTTTGATACAAACAAACATCACTACCCGGTACATGAAAGTGTCTTTGTCAGGCCTTTTATTCACGACAAACACTGACTTGATGTCCAGTTCATATAAATATTCGTTTAGTCCAACTTTCACTTTCACGTACTTCAAATTTCGCAACACTTCACTGGGCCAAATGTCAAAGCAAGTGATCAAAAACAACAAAGAAATGTCTGCTTAAGATGAATACTCTGTCAGTCCAATTTCTGGTCTTTTACACTGTCGCATTCAAACTGCACATGTTGCTTGTGACGTGGATATATGGACTGTATTTGAGTTAAAAAAACCTGTCAATGAAAAACACGTTCTCTGAGTTTAGAGTCACAATAATTGACCTGCTCATGATTCATAGTGACAGGCAGTTAAATGGATATTATCAGTGCATTGAGAGACAGCTGGAGATATCATCAACTTCTCGTAGCAATAACCGAAGAGTTTTTACATTCCTGCTTTCGTCATGTTGTTTTCGTTGACCTTTTGCCTGTTGTTGGCAACAAAGACACGGACAGGAAGTGGGTAACACCTCTGCAATGCTGTCTCTGGCCATGACCAACATTATTTAGTGGGTTTACAGTTCCTTATTGTACAATGTGCAATTTTAAGTGTTTGATGGACTTTGACTTTGCCTTTTGAAAAGCTGCCTGCAGCATTTTTTTTTTTACCCATTCATATTCAGTCGCCAGCGGTCGTATGAACAAAACATCTTAAGACTAAAAATAGCTCATAAAAGACAGAGTCAGGAGAAACTCTTTCACAAAGCATTTCAGTGCTATAAGTGTCGGTGTTTTGTAAAAATAGAATATAATCAACTTTGAATCCATATTTTAAAGGCGACCAAGGATTCAGTAACACTGGAGATGACAGTACAGCTCTTTGCTACTCAGACACCTGTACAGTACAGTTAGCAGTTGCAGTTTTCTCTTCAAACCCCGGTTTGCCACGCAGTTCATCACGTGCACATTCAATCATCACCAGCTGCAATAGATACATAAATAAAGCAGATTTCATGATCATCGCTGGATTATCCAGTAAAAAAGTGTTGCTGTATGTAGAAGTTTGATGATTTGTTTTACCAGCTGGAAGAAAAAATATCCCAAAATATCTGAAATGTCTCATTAAATCTGTCCATGAGAAGAGCGAGTCCTTCCTAACTAATGCAATCAGGTTGCTGAGTGCATAGCTTTCTTTCTTTGAATTTCACAAAAATTTAACCCACCTACCTGCCTGCCCATCTTTCTAGTTCCTCAAGCTCTGTTCATTGATGATCATTTCACAGACAAAGTCTTAAAGTTAGGACTGAGTTTAGTCAGCAGCTCGTTCTCATTTTTCTTATCGAAAGTTTCTGTTAGCAGCTTTGTGAATAGCCGCTCTTAGGATCTTTTAGTGCCTTTTATGAGCACTGCTAGTGGTAGGATAAGATCCTCAGAATATGGCCCCTGTTGTAAACAAAATAGAAAGGGAAAATTGCGTGGCTGGTGATTGTGTTGTCACAGAGGTATTGTTTGGTTATATATTAATCTATGTGAACAAACAACATATGACTAGAAGCGCTGTGTTTCTTGCAAATCTTATTTGTATTACCAAATTAGATTTTTTTTTTTTTTTTAGATGACATGCTAAATAGTGGAGATGCACAGTTTACAGATGCTCCTGAAATCAACTTCATCTGGCTAAATAATTAACTTTTTAAAGACATTAATCATTATACAGCATAGGTGGAGATTTATTATATTTTCAGTATCTCAATAATCATAGTCTTGTGATTTCGCTTGTAGGTGGTGAGAACACAGTCCCTCCTAACTTCCTGAAGGAACTTGCAAACATGGCTACAAGGCTCTTAATACACAAGAAAGGGATTTAGATATTCTAGATTTGCTACCAAGATGAAAAGTGTTGTTCTGTTGCATCAAACGCTTGTTTTCTTCAGGGTCATTCCTCTTCTGAGTCTATAACATTTTAATAGAAAGTTTAGCTGATAGTAATGTGAAGTTACGTGAATGACTGATGTGCACTAGCTGATGGAGATGTAAAGTTGGTCCACCACCCACTCACTGATTTGAGAGAGGGGAGTAAAAGTGGAGCTGTGTACATCAGAGCAGTCTGACATCTAGTGGACAGACTGAGCAATTACATTGGATCTTTTTTTCACGCATAAAGCTCTGTATAGTGGTCTTGGGAGTTACTACCCGGCCTTTGACAGTAGTCTTCTGTGGCTCTGAAGGGACTTAATGTCTGAAAAAGAAATTACCCGAGTCATATCATCAGGAGTTACTGTCGGCTTAAGGAAAGCCTGTGTTACAAATTGGGGCTGTGAAGTTTGAAAGATGTGGGTGTTTATCAGGCAGAGAGGGTTTAATGAAGAGATACTTCAGTACTGAGATGCATTTCGGGAAGTGTAGCATCCGGTATTTTAGAGACTTAAAGTCCTGATATCGCCTGCTGCTTCATTTTTGACCAAATCTTTTTTTTAATCTGTCTCTTGTGAGTCCCCCGATTTTATGAAAGTGCAACACTTAGAGTCCCTGTAATCTGGTCATGCACAAGTGAAAGCACCGTGATAATGACTTGAGGGTCTAAGGATAGAGGGTGTCATATGTTGTTACAGCTTGTGAGGCTATCTATGGCAAACTTATGTTTATCGACTTGACTCGTGCATGTTTGTGTGTTTGTGTTTAAGACTGTATGATGAACATCCACAAGCGGTGTGTGGCCAACGTCCCGAGCTTGTGTGGGACAGATCACACCGAGAGGAGAGGGCGCATCCACATCTCTGCCCAGATCACTGAGGACACTCTCACCGTCATCAGTGAGTGTGTCTGTCTCTTCACACTCACTTTTTTCTCTCTGACACACACACACACACACACTCAGCACCTCTCAAAGCTCTCTATCAGCCTAAGACTAAAACTGGAAAGTCCATTAGTTGATCAATGATCCAACGATTGACCCACATCACCACTGGGACCTACGTCCACGTGCCAAGCTCTCTCTCTCTCAGACAGCTGTGGATTGATTATGGAACAGAAACTAAACTGTTGTTAAGTGTTGTCAAATGTAGCCAGAGTTATTTAGGGCAGGCCAGAACGAGACTTCACCTCCTGCTGTCCTCTGGAAAGGACAAACTCCAGTTTGTTTTATCTTGGGATGTCTTCTTCTTCTTCTTCTTCTTCTTCTTCTTCTTCTTCTTCTTCTTCTTCTTCTGTCACTCATTTTTATCCATGTCCTTAACCCCTCACAGTCAAAGAGGCTAAGAACCTGGTGCCCATGGACCCCAATGGCCTGTCAGACCCCTACGTCAAGCTCAAACTGATCCCAGATCCCAAGAGTGAGAGCAAACAGAAGACCAAGACCATCAAATGTTGCCTCAACCCCACCTGGAATGAGACCTTCACTTTGTAAGACATTGCTCCTTCTGTACCGTATCTTGGATACGAGTTTTGAGGCTTCGCACTCCTGATCAACTTATTTCTGGCAATTATTTGAATGCAACTTGTTTGGTTTAAAGTGACTCTCTTGGCCTCATTTTTAGTCACATGAGCACAAAGCTAACTGGAGCTCGTGCAAGTGACCCTGTCCTCATTCTTTTCCCTGCTTTTTGCTTGTTGTTATTCAAGCTATTCTGGGTTACTGTGACTGCTAGGAAAGGCACAGGCATGAAAAAATGTCACATGCTGAGGTGTCTGCCAGTTTAAATAGAGAGAGATCTGAGGGATTTTGGCTTTAAAATCATATTATGCTCTTGGTTTCCATTTTTTTTAACCTATTTTAAGAACTTCCCTTTATCTGCTCTTTCATCTGACTGTCCCTCCGCATTTTCTCTCTCTTCTCAGCCGCCTAAAAGAAAGTGACAAGGACCGCCGTCTCTCGGTGGAGGTCTGGGACTGGGATTTGACCAGCAGGAACGACTTCATGGGATCCCTGTCCTTTGGGATCTCAGAGCTACAGAAACTAGGGATAGACGGATGGTAAGATGTCAGGATGAGGAAATTTGAAATGGAGGAGAATTGGGGAAAAATTAAACACAGGTGTAGATGGAAATAACAAAAGCAGAAGGAACAGGGGTGTGAATATTTAGGAGCTTTATTGTCATAGTCTGGTGATGATCCTGGATTTATCTGACATTGTTCTGTTTTCATTCTGGGGTTTAGGTTTAAGCTGCTTTCTCAGGAGGAAGGAGAATACTTTAATGTTCCTGTCCAGCCGGATGGAGAGGACGGTAACGAGGAGCTACGACAAAAGTTTGAGGTGAGACGCACACAAACAGAAACCCAAAATGACAACAGGTTTAATTTGAACTTGAACCTGAATTTTTTTTGTTTTAACATTATTCCCTCTATAATCTTTAGAGGGCGAGGGTGGGACCAGGGAAGCCCACAGACTCTTCTTCCTCCTCCTCGGTGTGCAAGTATGACAGCAATGGCAATCAGGACCGTGTCAAGCTCTCGGACTTCAACTTCGTCATGGTTCTGGGCAAAGGCAGCTTTGGCAAGGTGATGCACTTACATAGACGCTCCACGATCGAAAACGTGAACCGGCAGCTGGTAGAAAAGAAATTCCCCTAATGGAGTTGGTTTATATACTTTTCATTCGCTTCCCTCAGGTGATGTTGGCTGAGAGGAAGGGGACGGACGAGTTGTACGCCATCAAAATCCTGAAGAAGGACGTGGTGATCCAGGACGATGACGTGGAGTGCACCATGGTGGAGAAGAGAGTCCTCGCTCTGTCTGGGAAACCACCTTTCCTCACTCAGCTGCACTCCTGTTTCCAAACCATGGTAGAACACGACGCCACATCTTGCATTAACAATGATGAGCGCACGCAGAAATATGCAACGCACGACTTGTTCTCCTCTTTTCCTTTTTTCTTACCTCTTCATCATCTTTGTATTCTAGGACCGGTTGTATTTTGTGATGGAGTATATAAATGGAGGAGACCTTATGTACCAGATCCAACAGGTTGGCAAGTTCAAGGAGCCTCATGCTGTGTGAGTACACACACGCAGAAGAGTTGAATAATAGAACATTTTAATGCGGCAGTAACAATATTGTCATAATGGCAAAACAATATCTTGTATTTTCGACTCTCCTCTTGTTGTGCGCCTCCTGTTTTTCTTCTTTACTGGTAATTTACCCTAATTTCCAGATCTAGTCTCCTCCTCTGCTTTTTCATTTGTGGTTGTCTGTTCCTTTGCAATATATTGGGATGATCTCTTGTTAAAGGATGAACTAATTCAGGTTTAGATAAATGCTTATTAATATTTAGCTGATAACATGGCACTGCGTAGGTATTTGTCACATGCCTGCAGCAGCTTTTTTGGAAAAAACCCTACAGCTCTCCACTCTCGGCAGTTAAGAAGTTACATGAACACTTTGCATTTAAAGGTGCACTGTAGATTACATTCAGTGTTACTCACCAAAACCCACTGTGTGTATCATTGAGGTCTAACAAGGGATGAATGCGTTTCCTTCCTCATAAAACATTTGCAAAGCCAGATTTTCGAACTTTTTAAATCCTGTATAGTTCACGTCCATGTTTACTAGCGTGCAGTCGTCTTCTCCCCTGCTTTCTTGGCGCATTCCCACGTTTCTTGGCACATTAGCGCCACCTGTAGGTCAGTGGAATAGTGTGAAACTTTTAGCCTCTCATACATTAACCGGACAAACAAAATGGGGAGCCGCTCATAAATAAGCAGCTCTGTAGAGCTACAAGAGGTTATGTTTAACTAAACTCATGTTTTCATGCAAAAGCAAAGCCACTGTAGAAAAGTAATGTTTTTATTTATATTAAAAAGTCAATACAATATCATGATCTCAAATGACATCACATAAAATTTGTGAAAAAACTAAAATACTGTGCAATTTTGGCTTCATAATTGTCATTTTTTTACCTGTATCTCCCTCCCATAACACACCATACTGTGTATCCACGTATGTTCATAAAGGGGTGTTTGTCTGTATTTTAGGTTTTATGCTGCAGAGATTGCCATCGGACTCTTCTTCCTCCACTCCAAAGGCATTGTGTATCGGTGAGTCCATTTGTGAATCAGCTCGAGTCCGCAGGTGCTATTATCCATCATTTCAGAAAACAAGTGTGTTTAATACCTCAGTGTGTGTACTTGTACGTGTTTGTTTCCAGGGATCTGAAGCTGGACAATGTGATGCTGGACTCTGAAGGCCACATAAAGATCGCCGACTTTGGAATGTGCAAAGAGAACATGTATGACGGCATCACCACAAAGACCTTCTGTGGAACGCCAGACTACATCGCTCCAGAGGTATGTTCACGTATTGTTTGGTAGCTAACGGGCGCTCTTTTGAAAAACAAGAAAACAAAAACAAAACATTTTTATACATCTTTTCACTTGAATGAGTTTACCATTGTGTCTTGTAGATCATAGCCTATCAGCCTTATGGGAAGTCTGTGGACTGGTGGGCCTTTGGAGTACTGCTGTACGAAATGCTAGCTGGACAGGTTTGTATGTACCAACCGTCTCCTCTTAGCAAGGAAACACCAATAACAAGAACTGAAAACAACATAGTGTTCTTGTGCCTCTCCAGCCGCCTTTTGACGGGGAGGATGAAGATGAGCTGTTCCAGTCCATCATGGAGCATCACGTCTCTTACCCTAAATCCATGTCCAAAGAAGCTGTTGCCATCTGCAAGGGGGTGAGGATGCACACTTGAATGCACACACGAGTCGAGACTCATCCAAATCTGGCCCTTAAACCCACTTCCTATCCACTCCACTGGAGGGAACACTACATTAAGGGCTCATAGTTTGAAGTGAAAGGGCATAAGAAAAACTCTTTACTGTTTTTCACTCTCATTACTCTCTGTGTCTTTTTCGATTGGGAGGGCAGCTGTATTCAGAGAAAAAGCTCTGAAAACCCACTGTACACTCGCACCAAACAACACAGTTGGCGACTAGCAAGTGAACACACTGGAACATTCAGATATTTACCTCAGGAGTTGTTAGAGGCCAAAAGACAGAGAGAGAGTGAATACTGGAATTGGATTCATCAGGTCGCCAGAAACACGACTTCTAATGAATAATAATAATGTTTCATAACTGCTGGATGCGTAAATAAGCAGCTGTTCACCTCATATCAACTTAAAAGGTGTTCAGTCTCAGTTAGCCATTAGGGTATTTTTCATCCGTGGTCCCATGGACAGATGGTACAAAATCATCCCAAAGAAATATAAGATTAAAATTAATATTTAGTGAAAAAATCCTACAGAACGTAGTTATACTACATTGTTTGGTGCTAATTAAAACATGCAACACAGAAGCACAGAATACATAACATGGAAAACAACCAGATGGAAAATGTTAATGCAAACATGCCCTGTGTACGACATTGAGCTGCATTATTAGCCGCTAATTGCAACCTGAAAAACAGAGGCTTACAACACATAGACAGAGTTAGGGGGTAGTGGGCAGGGTCCACAGTACACACACACCACACACACACACACACACACACACACACACACGTCCAAACTCTCGTAATGAGTCTGTGTGTGATTTTTTTTTTTTTTTTTAGCTGATGACCAAACACCCATGTAAGCGTCTGGGCTGTGGTCCAGAGGGGGAGAGAGACATCAAAGAGCACGCCTTCTTCCGCTATATAGACTGGGAAAAACTGGAGAATAAAGAGGTGCAGCCACCTTTCAAACCTAAAGCTGTGAGTATATCACACACACACACACACACACACACACACACACACACACACAAACACACCACACACACACTCAAGCTGTTGAATATTAGCATAACTTAACTGAATACCTTAGAAATCTATCACAGTAAGGAAGGAGATAAGGCACTTAGTCAAACTTTAAAGGTAAGTTATAGACGTGATTAGATCGCTCATCCCCCGAACCCAACCATCACCTGCCATTGGTCACTTCTCTCGCAAATGCTAGAGCTGAGATTTGTGAGTGTAGTCACCAATGGTGAAGCTGAACTTTCACTTGCTCACATATGGACCAATGGAAATCCACAGTCTCGACTGTGAGTGATTTGATTGGTTGATGCCATGTTTTAGTTGTATTTCTCTTTTTTCTCTTTGTCGTTTGTTGTTGTCCTTTTTTTCCTTCACATCCCTCATCAAACTCACCTCATCCTCCCCATCTCTCTCTCCATCTCTGTCTCTCTCTCCTCTCCATGGCAGTGTGGGCGTGATGCGGAGAACTTTGATCGCTTTTTCACGCGCCACCCCCCAGAGCTGACCCCCCCAGATCAGGAGCTTATAGCCAACCTGGACCAGGAAGAATTCCAAGGCTTCTCATTTGTTAACCCTGAGTACACTCACTCAATCCACTGACCATGCCACATATCACTGGGCTGCACTAGTAATCCCCTACACCTCAGACACACACACACACACACAAAAAAAAAAAAAGTTTAAAAAATCACCATGATGTCATATCCAGGCTGCATTCGGCAGGGTGAAACGTTAAAGAAATAGTAAGGCATTTTGGGAAATGCACTTATTTATCTTCTTTTTGCCAAAGTGAGATGAGTAGGTTGAAATCAGTCTCACTTTACGGTGTTAATTGTGAAGCTAGAGCGCGGGAGGGATTAGCTTCGTTTAGCATAAAGTTTGGCAGCAGAAGGAAACTGCAGGACTCTCTCCAAGCTCCAATTTATGCCTACCAGAAGTAAAGTAACTAATTCGCATGTTTCTCATTTGTTTGATCCATACACAAACATGAATGTTTTCTTTAATGTTTAGCTAACTAAATCTCCACAGCAAAGCAAAACCTTTTTTTCTCTTGAGTTTTTAAAAAGCAGTAGCCTACCTTATCACTGTGATGTGAATGTAATCAAGGAAAAGATTTTTCCATTAGCCGCAGCTGTAGCTCGTGTTTGGTCATAGTTAGAAAATGTTAGCATACTAATATGCTAAACTAAGATGGTGAACATGGTAAACATCATATCTGCTAGGCCTTAGCATGTTAACTTTGTCATTTTGAAGATTTTAGTATGCTGACTTAAGCATTAAGCTCAGAGCACCCCTGGACCCAAGTACAGCCTCCCAAATTTTGTAGTAGTCAACTGCCAGTAAGCATGGTAATAGATTAGCGCACTAGCGGAAGTTTAGCTTGGCTACACCCGTCAGTCACGTGACCCTCACCTTTCTGCTCGAGTCTTTTCCTCTAAAAGCCACACATTAGGTGGGTTTCCATCTACCTGTTTTAATGCACATTTTCAATTTGTGCATTAGAAAACCTGAGTGGAAATGCCACAAATTCGGGGAAAAAACCTTTAAAAAAGTGAAAAAGTCAATGTGTCCATAAACGCAAAATGCAATAAAGTACAATGGAAACAGACTTAGTGAATAAATCATGACTTCAACGTAGATTGACTGAAAAATAGCAGCAGATAAAAACATCAGATCTGTGTGGAGCCATGAGGAGACAATACAAACAAACAAAAATGCTATATTTTATCATGTTTTCTACATTGTTTTTCACCATCTGAAGTTTGACTGTTGCTCTTTTCATTACATCGACTTGTTGCGCCCTCTTCCTCTGTGATGCTTTAATGGCACCCGACTGAAAATTAGCACCACCAGCTGTTTATCTTGATAAACCAGCCTCCTAATAATCACATAACAGAAGAGAATGAAAACACACATTAGTTCGCATTTTCTTTTGCCAGTTTTCTTCTAATTTGATTAAAATCCTATAACCCTGGATATAGTCGTTTTTACATTTCTCCTTGTGCATGAATTGACAAACAAACAAATAAGATAAAACGTCTTCATTAGTGAACTTTACTTCTGGTAGCCATATCTTTGAGGAGAATCAGGTTAACTGTTTGCTCCAGGCTTGCGTCATTATGCAAAGCTTGGCTAATTGCCTCATGACTCCAGCTCTCTATCTAATTTAAAGGAGTGGTATCAATACTCTCATCTGACCCTCGGACAGAAATCAAATAAGCATATCTCTCCACCATGCCAAACTATTCCTTTCAGTAACGTTCAGATGGAAATGCAGACAGGTGCTCAAATGCTAACAGTCAGGAGAAATAATCAGATATTCATGTGTCAAGTTGCCAGTAGGAGACTAGTCTGGTTTCCAGCGGTGACACTGTTTTCATTTTACTGTGGATGAACATGTCACGCTCCACTGCTGCTCTCATATCAGCTTTACTGGCTGTATCTCTATCTTTATCCCTGAATGCTGCCCGGCTGCTCACACCAGCAGGTTCATGTTAGAGTCCGACATCAGGACCCACCTGAACCTGGCCTGTCCGTGTGTCACCCTCCCTGTAATTGCATATTGACTATGACGACCTTTCAGTAATATATTGATGAGTGTACTATGATCACATATTGGTAATATTCATACAGTGGAAGTGAAAACTGACCAGTTGCTTTGCTATGATTGTTTTGAATACTAATCAGTTTCCTAATGTTGACTTTACTTTTGTCTATAGGACCAAATACTTCTTCACTTTATGTTCAGTCAGTGTTGTGGTGAGCTTATCTGATTTCATGCTGATTTCATTTTTAACCAGTTGGAGGATAGAAGTCTTTACACATGCAACAGTGTAAGCCTGCGACAAGTTAAGAGGTTTTTGACTGAACGGTCATTACTTTTCTCCTGATTCATTACTGAAAACATTCACCACATTACACTGTGTTTTTAATGACAGAGGACATATCTCTTAGCTTGTAAACAACCTTCTGTGGAGAATTTCACATATGACGAAGCCCTGTAGAGTCTTGTGAGCTCACAGAAACAGGATGTCCAAAAGTGCCAAAATAGGGTTCAGAATCATGAAAGTGTGGACAAATATTGTCCTCAGCAACTGTGATGAAGGGCAGCCATCTTGTGCCATTTTGCAGTACATGTATAATTATTAGAATATGCATTTTAGCTTATCTGTTCTCCAACAATACAATACAATACACTTGGAAAGTCATTTTCATATATAAAATGAACTGTCTGAGAAGACGTGTGTTTCATTGTGTGGCAGGTTGTATTTTCCTTTTGTAACTGTGTATCGATGCAGGGTAGTAACAATGTGTCAAATCTTGTTCTTTGAGCTTGTATCAAAAATGTAGGCGGCAACAGGGCGACATCAAAGAGTTGTTTCTGATATACAAAGATGCTCGCTGATTTAAAAAAAATAAAGAAAGAAAGAAAGAAAAAGACTGATTCTGGCAGGTGGAAAAAAGTGAGAGTTATTGTGGTGATGGTAACAATGATGAATCAGCGATGGCATAACGAGATATATAATGGAGAAAAAATATATTGAATTCTATATCGGAGAGCTATTTGGATAAATTGTTCTGAATGAGAGAGATGCTTCTGTGGATTGTGTAATTGTCTTGTATGACTGGAAACTGATAATATACTCACTGGTGCCTACCAGACTACTTCTGCTGTGTCTGCCTTGTTACTGCTGCTACACCCAAATATAATATAATGTAACACTTCAAAGAAACAGTTCAACATTTTTGGGATCTACATTTGTTTGGTTTCTTGCTAAGAGTTTGGTGTGAAAATGAATTCCACTGTCATATCTCTCTCATGTAGCTAAGATACAGCCAGGAGACAGCTAGCTTAGCTTAGCATAAAAATTGGAAACAGGAGGAAGTTGCACGCCTGGCTAAAAGTTAGGTTATTTCTTGTTTGTTTGATTTGTACAAAAACATTTGGTTTGTTTAAAGGTTAAACACTGGACTATTTCTTTGCCTGGCTAGCTCCCTCTGCTTTCAGTCTGAATGCTAAGCTAATAATCGCCTGGCTGTAGCTTCATTTAAGGCACTGACATGAGAACGGTATGATTGTCTCATCTAACTCTAAGCAAGAAAGCAAATAAATGTATAAGCAGTATATAAACACTTCATAAGTTGTTTGTAACACACTACAATGTAGTTGTAAGCAGATATTAGGGTATTTTGTGTTAATGCAAGTGTTTAATGCAACGGTTAAAATTCTCCCATGAAGCATCCTGAACGAGACTGTCCTGTACAAACAAAACAAACAAAAAAACGAGCCCATAGCTCCTCTGTGCCAGCAGCTTGTTACGACCCATAGTTCTGTTTTATTGTCGACTGACCTCTAGCGACCAAAGCAATGACGGGAGCAGAGTAGGAAGTCGGCTCACGCAGTATAGAAAATGTTAGGCAGCGGTCGGGGTGGATGAACTGGGTCGACAGGTGGTGGATGGAAACAGGTTATTTCCTGTTTGTTTCATTCTTTCTTTATTAATGACCGTTCCACAACCATAACGTCATGTTTATCACTGTCACCATGACGACAAAGGTCCTCTAACCTTAACGAAGTACTTATAAACCAAGCCACGATCTTTTCCTATACCTTACTAAGTAGGTTTTCCTATGGGTCGTGTTCCAGGGTGGGGACAAATTACTTATATGGTCCTTTTAAGTTGGAGGACTTACTGTCCATAACTGGTGTTCCTTCAAGCTGAAATATTTACAAAATTTAGAGTGGTAAACTAGAGTCCAAATCTTTCATTCTTGGCCCCAGAAATAGTCTGAAAAAAAAACTTACTCAGTGGTCATGGAATGAGAAAAGCATTTATAAAGTAATNCTTACTTATATGGTCCTTTAAGTTTAAGTTCATTCTTGGCCCCAGAAATAGTCTGAAAAAAAAAACTTAACTAAAGGTCCACTTACTAAATTTTCAGCTAAGTTTACAGCTACATCTGATGGCCCCTCATCAACAGATGGTGCTCAGTGGTCATGGAATGAGAAAAGCATTTATAAAGTAATACTTAATATGTAAGATGAATATAATAAACAAATACTTCATATTTTGAATTTATGTAAATATAGTTGTAATGGTGCTAAATTCATCAGGGGTTTATACGCCAGTTTGGGATGCTCCACGGGTCTTAAAGTTGTTGTCAGATACATTAATCAACACTAAAGTGTCTCTATATCTGCTTACAGATAATTGCATTAAAGCTAAAGTTATCAGCCATTTATTAATTGGTATATGCTGCTTATAAAGGCTACATAGAGGGGGTTAAAATAAAGTGTAAATCACAAAACAAACAAACACACGCAGCATCGTCACACACGCCTCATACACAATAATGAGCTGAATTAGTGGTAAATTCGTGGACCAGTGGTAGAGATGGGAAAGTTTGCAACCCCTCCTCATTTCAGCTGGAAGCCCTGTGATGAGACAAAAGGAGGAGGTAGGAACCTAAACGCTTTGTGTGATGTGTGTAATGTGTGTTGATACATGTGTCTTGCCTGAGGCTCACTGCTTCACTTCCCCGTGTGAAATCCTTTCCGGTTGTGGTTTGGTCTGCAGCTGGTCTGTTTTATCGATCCTCGTCTGTTCTGTACTAGAACATTTCCTCTCTCTGGCTTTAGAAGTTTGTCTTGGATCTTCCTGCACCTGTGCTGTTGAAATGTTTCGGGTGGGTCTTTTCCATATTTGACTGTGTCGCTGGGTTTGTCGCCACGGTGTGTTTGTTCTTTGTCGACTTTCTTCCCCCCAGTCTTGTATGGAATCAGTGGTGTGTTTTTCTGAGTCCAGACTAATTGTGGTGCCACCATTTACAGATTATCAGAGGTGTGGACTAGACTGAATTTAGACTTTACAAAATCAAAAAACACATGCCATTCAACTAAAGTATGCAAGGATAATCATCAAAAATGTACTGAAAGTATTAAAAGTAGAAGTATTCAGTATGCAGAAAAATGGCCCCTGTGACCATGTTACATTATATGTGTACACAGCATTTTACGGTTGTAGTCATTGAGTTAGAGCTCATTTTAAAATATATTTTATATAACTATGCTTACTTTCATTATGGATTAACCCCCTGACTATGTTTATCAATTAGTCAATTATTGATTATTAAGTAATGATTGTTTGGTTTGTAAAACTTAATTAAAATAGTGACAAATGCCTTTAAAAATGACTTAAATGATCATCATAATAGTTGCCAGTTAATTTTCGACTAATGGTTTCTACTGTACTTGTATACACTGTAAGTTTAAACTTTGTCAAAGCGTCATATTCATATTTTATAAGCTCTTCATATGTTTTTTTATGCAAAAATCTTAATTAGCAAAATAACTAGTAGCTAAAGCTGTAAGATAAATGTACTGGAATAAAACATACAATGATTTCCTCAGAAATGCAGTGGAGTAGAAGTATAAAATATCAATTGAAAATATTTAAAGCACAAGTATTTCAAATTTGTACTTGAGTAATTGTACTTGTTATATTCCATCACTGCTTGTGACTCCCTGGGACGTAAGACTCTTATTCTGGAAGGACTTCAGTCCCTCCCCAAGCCCAAAGATTAAAGCTGAACATACCAATATTTTTAGATTAATAATTTACTTAAAATGCAGTAATACACTTTGATTTAATCCAACAGACTTGAGACTTGTCTTGCAAAACAATCACTTTGTCCCACCTCTGCAGATGATTAAAATGTCTTTGTTTGCTGAAACAGTCAACTTCCCTCGCCTCCTCCTCTATTCTTCATCTTTGTGCTTCTATGAGACGGTTGTTCTTTTTGCTTGTTGTCAACCTTGTTCTTTTCTAAACTGTCTTTTTAACGCTGTACAAATCAACTCTAAGTTTGTACTTCTAACACTTTCCCTCTCCTTCTCTTCTCTCTGCGACAGAAATCTCGCTGTGACGTCGGCAACTTTGACAAGGAGTTCACAAAGATGGCGGTGGAGCTGACGCCCACAGACAAGCTGTTCATCATGAACCTAGACCAGAACGAGTTTCAAGGCTTCTCCTACACCAACCCCGAATTTATTATACAAGTCTGAGGAGTTCCTGTTGGTTAGACGCAGCCCGGACAAGACTTTACTCCAAACCCGAACAGCCCAGTTACATTTCATCCAAGAGTCATCCAGCATCTCATCGGCACCGCCCGGACTCACACCAATCATACACACACACACACACACACACACATAAAAATCCTCAAACTCATCCCCCGCCAACGTCTACACTGGACAGTAATGAATATCATAAACATACATACTCACATTTAAAGACACACAAGCAGCACGATGAAATACAAACCTAGATGGCTTCAGCTGCTGGTTGGTCACAGCAGGACTTACTTTGACCACGTGGTAACAGGCCAATTTCCCGAAGAACTCACGGGACCTCGTGCTGAGCAGGTCAATACAGCGGCTGACGATCAAGAGCCACAGCGTATGTGTAACTGTGTGTATGTGCTCTATCGATCGGCAACAGCGTGTGTTTGTTTACTTGATTTCCCTCTCTTCGGCCTGTAAAAGTTGCGTCATGAACATTCCATGATCAATATGTCATGTATGTGCTCACACACATACAGACACACACACACACACACACACACACACACACACACACACACACACACACACACGAACGAACACAAACACACACGTTTCTGCATAGGCTGCGGTTTGGAGGGAAGGAAGGTTTTGAATTATGAAAGTCCAAGGCCCTGTTCATCAAATGTGGCTTATTTAATTCAGGCTTACATGCTGTTATCAGGCTAAAAATAATCCTGTTTATTCTCATGCAGCTAATTTGGTTCTTTGAAAGCAGCGTGAAGATTGGTTTGGTTTGTTAATCCTTGTGCTGGCCTGTTGTACGATTTAGGTGTGTTGGGATCCCTCCCTGCATGCACTGGGACAGTAGCCTCATGGACATCAGTGTCATTTAAGGCACACTCCTGCATTTTACTGCCGTTAATAATTTCTACATGGTGCTCCAAAGTTTTTCCACGCTTTCATCGCTGTTGAATTAGATATGATGAGTGAGTGTGGTTAGACTGTGAGTGATGTCGGTGCTCGAGCGGAGAGGTTCTCCCCAACTGACGTGCGAGAGACTTCTGATAAAAGCAAACAGGCCTGCTGCAAAACGAAACCTCACTCCTTAAGAAGCAGATTTAAATGCATGAACTGTTTTCAGCAATCCAAGCTCTGCAGTTAATCATTGAAGAAGTTTTAGTCTTTAAATTACAAATTCCCATTTTAATGGAAAATGTTATTGGTCTTTAATAGTTAGAATTTTTTTGCTGAGTTTGTCTTTTTGTTCACAGTGTCTCAAAAACTGGGTTGATTCTTTTTTTTTTTTTGTCACAAACTTGTATTTTCTCTTAGCAATACTGATGATTTCTCAAATGATAATCAGTATTCTTTCATTATAAAGCTAAGTGAGACATTTGAATATAAAAATGAGCTCATATGTGGGATTCCCCCTCAATGCAATATCCTTTCTGAAGAAGAAAGGATGCTAATATTGCTAATTGGCTAAAAAGTTAAAAAATAAGGAGTTAAAAGATATACTATAAAGAGATACTGTATCTATTCTGTGTAAATTGTCCACCTGCTAAAAGGACAATGAAACCCTGGCAACACCTAAGTCAAGCTAATTACATCAATAGGCCATAAAAGTGCAAAGTCCACATGTAATGAATATCTGCTTTTGTGTAACTGAATTTACCTTTCGCTCTGATTACAATCTCAGCTTCTAATATTGGTGCGGCAGGTCCAGTATTCTCCCTTCAGCCTGAACAGATACAGCGAGGTCTAAAAAGAGAAAAGGCGAAAGATTTAAAACAATAAAACACCTTCCAGGCTTAACTGGCTGCGCAAATGCAACTTATCACCCTCATGGTGTCTTACCTGAAGTAGAAAATATGTACAAATACATGAAAACAATTGTTAAAATCACCTCAGATCTTAAAAAAAGTCAAACATACCTGCCAAAGTGAAGAAGGTTTCCAGGTGAGGAGGGGGGAAACCAGAGCAGGAGGGTTAAGGGTGCAGGGCTAAGAACCTTGAGTCAGGGGTGCGTTCAAGGACTGTTGCTCTATCACACATGCACTGTTGCTCTAACAAGAGTTCCAGATACATTTCCAGACAGCTTCAAAGAACCAAAAAAAATCCAGAGTCATATTTTCCACGTATGAAGAACAGGGCCCTGATTTATAACCTCATGTCTAAGTTAGTCCTGAACTTAGTCTTAAGCACGTCTCGTCTTCCAAACTGATGCAAAAAAAAAAGAAAAAAAAAAGGAAAGAAATTCCCCAAATGCCTGTTTGGCAGTGATATTTAAAAATGTCTCTGTCTTTTTTCTCTTGCTTAATCTCTCTCTTTCTCTTCTCTATGGCACTGTGTATGCAGTGGGTTAGTGCTGTGTAGGCCTATACAGTCTTTGTGGTGCAGCTCCTCTATGCATGCCATATTTGTTGGTACAGTAGTTCTCTAAGATTTGCTTTCGACATCGTGGAGGTGAGAAACTCTCGGTGTCTTGAATTTATCGATGCAAGTCAGTTTTATGATATCCATGCTCAGATCAAGTTTTAGTTTCCACTCTGGATGCTGCGTACGCTATCTCTGATAATGTCGAAAATGTGCGCGGCTAAAGAGTTTGCTTTAAAAAAGCACGGAGCAAAGACTGTTTGGCTGTGTGTTAAATGAACATATAAAATAGATGTAATTATTCTGTATGACTTGTGTTTCTGTGTATGTGTAAATAGGAATGGGATCTAGAGCTAGATGTGGTTTCCATGCAATGACGCACTTCCTCACACCCCATCTCCCTGTCTCTCTGCTCTTTACCCCTGCCAGCACTCTCAGCTTTTACTTTGTTCTCCAATTTTATCTCTCCCCTTTCTCCTCCTCTTCCTCTTCTCCTTTCCTTCAATCTTAATTTGATCTCTTTTTCCTTCTCTGCTTCTCCCCTTTCTGCGGCTCACATTCACATCGGTAAATTTTAATGAGAAGGAACTGGGAAATGAGATTGGCAAGACAAGAGGGAGAAGGGAAAAGAGGGGAGAATAAAGTGTTTACTATGCAAAAGGCAGGAGAAGAAATAGAAAGAGGATGAGGAGAAGAGGGCAACTTTTATAAAGCAACCTGAGGAGATGGTGTAACAGGACAGTATTCATGTGTTGCATGCGCCGTCTTTACCTGCGCGTGTGAAACACCTCCAATATGATACCTACATTAAAATGACTTATCATAATACCATTTCAGTAACTCTGGCTCCTGTCTTTTACTTTGAAGGGTTGTACACAACAGCCAGTAGTGAAGGAAGTATTCAGATCCTTTACTTAAAAGTACTAATATCATACTGTAAAAAACTTAATTGCGAGTTAAAGTGCAGTGAAAATGTTATTGAAGTAAAGGTATGTAAGTAAAATCAGGAAAATGTACTTAAAAGTTACAAAAGTAAAAGTATGCACTGCAGTAAATGGCTCCTGTGACTTCCATGCTATTATATATTATATTATTGTAATATTATAACTCAAGCATCAATGCATAAGCAGCATTTTGTGGTTGTAGGTTGGAGCTAATCTTATACACAAAGCTGTAAAGTCTGTAAAACTTCTGAGAAATGCTCATCACAATTACCCAGAGCCCAAAGTGACACCTTGACACTGTTTGTTTGACAAAGTTATTATTGCAACAAAAAGGTGCAAATCCTCACATTTGCATTGGAGAAGCTGGAACCATGAAATGTTTGTCATTTTTGTAATAGTTGCCAATTTATTTTCTATCAACTGACTAATTGATTATTGAATTAGTCATTTAATTTGTTATGTTCTTGTTCGTAGGCTTCGTTCTCCGGCAAAAATGTTCATATTCACCAGCAGCAGATCTCACTGTCGTGAGGGTTTGCTTAGCCAACATTAGTCAGTAGAGCAGTCTCAAGTCTAGGGCGCTGTCATGTGATGAAAATGTATAAGGGTATGTGAACTTCCAACAGAAGAAAAGAATTTTATTTATTTAGTTTTAAATAATAGGCCATCATTTTTTGGGGATTTTGATTGCTTTGTCGTCTTCACACATACTTGCTCACTTTATATTCAAACCCTTAAATATTCATATTCTCATTTATTCTTTTATTCATTCAGATGAAGGGGCCCCACAGGGCTCCTTCCCCATTTTCTGGTGGATTTAATCCAGATGAGGATATTAATATGAAGGACATGAAGGCCTAATGAGTAAACAGCCGTGATATCAGCCACAAAGCTCCAGAGATATCAATATCTCTGTAATATCTCTCTTATATAAAGTGTAAAAGACTTTCCACAACTATTAATATTTTACCAAAGTCACTTTCATGTAGGAGCCAAATATTAAAAACACCATTATTCAGTCCAACATTCCCTGTCCAAAGAAAATAGAAATATAGCTTAGCTGCAAAATATTTTACATTCAAGATTTGATAAATTCATAAAATATTTATTTATCTAAACAATAAATGCAAGTCTTGAAAAACAAGACAACATCACTATGAGTACCTAAAGTACTCATAGTGATGTTGTCCTAATTGCTGGGTTCAGAATTGACCTGGTGTGGGTCAGTATAACACAGATGTAATAATGGGTAAAAGATTTGCTCCTGACATGTTTCATGACATATAAAAATATTTTTGCTTGGAATAATAATTTGTGTCTGATATGTTTATTTCGCAAAAAGGTTTCTTCTCCTTCCCTGGAAAATCCAGCAAATTTCATTTCAGATGTTTGACAGAGGCTGTTTCCTACTTCATTCAAATGTATTTTGTCAGTGTGTGTGGGCTGGAGGCTTCAAGTTTCCACATCACACTTGTGTAAGTTGCATACTGGATAATGATTGGCCTCTGAACTAGTTGTGATGTCACAAAATCCCGCTCCTACAAACAGTGTTCAACTCAGATTGAAACTTTCCCTCTTGAGCATGAAAACAGACTTCTAGTGTCAAACTCTGCTCATCACTCTGGTCAGAGAAACTCAAACAGCCAAGTGAAATAACAATAAGCAAAACACATATTTGAGTGGAGGGGGACTTTAACTTTAGCAAGTGGGTTCCCACAGTAAACTGAAAATAACACAAAAAGTGGGTACATTGTTTTTGGGTAAAGTTACTCTGGTATGATGGAGGCCCACACTGGGTCAGTATTGAACCTAATCACTTATAGTCTGTACTGTCGCTGATTTAAAAGGCCAAAAGATTATTTGCGATACAGTGTTTTCTTTAATATAATTGAACATATTTTACATACATAAACGTTTTGAATACTTCTTTCACCACTGGATTGTATGAGGTTACATATTGTACAGGGTTTGTTTTTCTGGTCTATTCGGGGGGACATTATAACCACTGTGCAGCTGCTGAACTGTTGGTCAACACTGCGCACTGATTCAGATGTAGGCTACTGGTTTCAGGAACACACAGGCGACCGGAGGGCGGGATTATCCTGCAGTTTACTGTCATGCAGAGTTGATGTACGATAAACTAGATCGTGTCCAGATGAGCTTTGCTGCCGCCGCTGCTGCTGCTGATGCTGCTGATGATTTCTGGATTGTTTTATCCAGGATGTTGGCTTTTCCACTTTTCGCCCCTCGGGCCTGGGTTCCTCTCTGATTTTTTACTTTGTGATTTTTGACAACACATCCACATCCCGTGGTCCTGGGTCTGCGGCCCTGACATGGAAACGTCCCAGCTCTGTAGAGTTATGAAGGCAGTTTAGTGAAAAATGACCCGTCCCTAAACCTGCACAGTTTTTCACCTATGCGAGTTTAGCGCAGGTTGCAGAAGATGCGCACAAAATCGGAGTTTCCGTCACTTTCAGCCGACTGGATCCACACAGAGAGAAGACACCGGGGAAAAGTTTTCAGCAGTTTCTGAACCCCGCCGGTCTGTCCACTGGAGGTCTCCGGGAGGAGCGGGAAGAGGAGGCTGGGCCGACATGAGGCTGTGTAACCGGGGTGTGATGATGCTGCTGACCACGGCGGGGGCTTTCTGCGCCTTCAGCCTCATGACCATCGCCGTGGGCACGGACTACTGGCTGTACTCCCGCGGGATGTGCCGCTCCAAGAACCTGAACGACAACGAGACCGTCCGCAAGAACGAGGAAGTCCTGACCCACTCCGGTCTGTGGAGGACCTGCTGCACGGAGGGTAGGAAACACACCACTCCTGCATGTTGCCTGAATTTACAGGTCTCACCATTGTGCAAAAAAACCCTTATCATAATTGTTATTTTACAATAGTCTGTATTTCTATGATGATCTTGCAGCACGAACTAAATAAAAATATTGGTCAGTTGTAGTTAAGTAAAAGAAGCAATACTACATTATTAAATACTCTAGGAAACTTATGCACCCCACGAAAAGTTAATAAGTACAACGAGTATCGGGTATTATTAGCAAAATGTTCTAAAAGTATCTAAAGTAAAGCAGGTAAATGCCGCTGCCAGTGTTGTAGTATTATAGATTTTGTCAGTGCATTATTCTTATTTAACTTTTACATAGCATTTAGCAGTTGGGGCTTTTTTTAACAATTGTATTTGCTGTCCCGTTGTTTAATTAATTGTGTAAAATAACTACTAATGATAAATAACTGAAGGTGCAATGTTCCCCTGAATTGCAGCAAGTACACGCGATATCTTTCTATGTATAATGTAATGCTATGAAACACTATGTATAAAGTAATGACATGGAAATACTAATAGTGCTTAGTTACACTCCACCATTGAGAGCACCCACCTGATAGCAATAGTGTTGACAAAATGTTTTACAAATAAAACAAAGTTTAAAAGAAACTTGTAACTGTTTAGCTAGTAAATAAGAAAGTCAAATTTATTCAAATAATATATTTCAAAAGCAGAGTAACAAAGTGCTTCACAAGTGCCCAAAAAAATATGGCACTATAAATTTTTGTCAAACATAGAGAATTGAAAATAAAAAAGAAACAACATAAAACCATTGAGGTGATAAGTTATAGAAATGCGACTGAGAGCTGATCTCATACTCCACTAACCAAAACCAAACATTATCTCTATGGGGGAAACTGATTTGTTAAGCACTGAAAGTCTCCTGCAGAGCATCCCATTAATTTTTTGATTAATGGCAAGATTCAAGAGGGTGCATCTCAGAGAGCGAGGGAGGAGTTTAATTCCTGGATATGTGATATGATGAAATGAAATGATCAATTATTCATTGCTTTTTATATAGCGCCTCTCTTTGTCTTGCTTCATACCCCCTGTTTGCTTTGCTTTGTTAATTTTCTGAGATGTCCAGCTCTTTTATTTATGCCTCACTTCCATCCCTGTGTTCCTCTCAGCCCCTCCCTCCCCTGCTGCTCCACTATCTCTTAGCTCCAAAATGGTTTAATGGAGAGGTAACAAAGCATGCAGAGGACATCAATGCCTCAACAGTCCTGTGTGTTTGTGTGTATGTGTCTATCAGTCTGCATCACACAAAGCCACCTGCAAGCAGACAGACACAAAGATGGAAAGCTGAAAGTCGGTTGTGTACTTTTCATACACTATCTTTATTAGAAACTTGTTTGATTTAATTCTAAAATAAATAGTGACATGACAGGAAACAAAGATAGAGACGTAGATAAAACATAAAAATAGAAGAGGTCAGCACTACAGACAGACATTTACAATGGGATACCGTTAGTATCTTCCAGAATGAAGTCACTGTAAAGCTTGGTTACTTGCATGTCAAGCAACAACAAAACTGTCCCCCTGAAGTAAGAGTTTGATTAAAGACTAATGATACTAAGCTGCAAATGCTCAGAAAGTATCTATTCTCGCTGAGAGTAAGGGAGAGGTCCTAGTTTCACATGTGACCTCATCTCTCCTGACAATAGTTTGAATAAATGCTTTCTCCATCGTGGGCTTTGCTCTCTGACCTGTTCACCGCGGCCGAGTTGTAGCTACTGAATGAGTTTGGTTTTGGTAACCATGGTGACTGAGTCACATCATCAATACTGTTCAATCAGTGCAGCACATAGGGACATATTCATCAATATATCCCTGTGTGTGCAAATGTTGAAAGGCATTACATGACCAAAGGATAGTGAGAGCAGGAGACAAACAGTCCAGCTGGTTTCTGAATCCTCACAGGATGAAAGTCAACATCAAAATATATCAGAGGCGTTACAGGTGATTATGGTGACAGTCTGTGTGTTCGCCAGCTTGATGGTTGGTGGGACTAATAAGTGTTGGTGATGTTGGTGATGGTTTGGATTCATCAACATAAAGTGCCAGGAGATGTTTCCTATAGTCAACTGTCAGGACCTGAGCAGCGTATATTTAAATATATATAAATATAAAGCAATAGACTGACCTAAATTATTTCTTAGCAATAACACTTATAATAAACAACATAAAAACTTCATGGCTTAAACGATGTGAGGAGGAAAATCAGTCAAATCAGTGTGATAAAAGGTCACAAGCAGGCACTGGTTCATGTTAAAGGGTCACAAGCCAAACAAAGCTGGGAGCCACTGGCTGAAATCAACTGTAAGTATAATTAGAATATGCCATTGCTTCTGTTATGTGCACACATGATGTTAAAGGATGCTCTTCCTGTGGCAACTCATTAGAAGATGTCACAGTTCAGAGAAATATTATTCTCGATCCTCTGACTTCTCTGGGCTCAGGCAGAGACCCTCATATGCATAATATCCAAAGCAAAATAGATAAAGCGTTCGCTAGTTAAGGCCTGGAGCCGAATTGTTTCAAGAACAGGAAAAAAAAATCAATACAAAACCCATCAGATGGTAAGCATATTTAACATTTACTGTCAGCAAGTCACTGTTAGAGAGAGTATGCAAAGTGCACTGGGTCAAATTACATACTATGAAGAGTAACGCAGAGCCAAAGGAGTTATTAAATGGATGTACCGTGATATATTCCTCTCTTTGTCTTTCTGCAGGGACGTTTCGGGGTGTTTGCAAAGACATTGATCACTTTGCTGAAGATGGAGACTATGAGCAGGATGCTGCAGAATATTTACTGCGTGGGTAACACAGGAGCGTTTAACTGTGAGATCTGTATGGGATGCGTTGTATGTACCGTGATTGTTACAGTTGACTCAGTGGATCAGTGGACTTCACCCTGGCTAACTTTGTTCAGGTCGTCTGTTTTAAGTCCTCGCTCCTCTTCCTATCCTTAGCTCATTCGGACTTCCAGATTTAAACAAATGTCATACACATTTAAAAATTACATTGTTGCCGTCTTCACCTACACTGTAACACTGGTGCGTTCGTTTAGAATGACCTACATCATAGGTGTCCAGTCTCTAAAAGTTAATCCACACCTCCCAGCCAATCAGAATCCAGAATTTACAGTCACCACGCAAGTGCCGAGTATTCAAATGTTGAATATTCCCCATTTCATTCTCCTCTGTCCTCTTCCTCAGGAGCAGTTCGGGCCTCCAGCCTCTTCCCCATCCTCAGTGTGGGGTTATTATTTCTCGGAGGTGTGTGTGTAGCTGCCAGTGAGTTCTACAAGTCACGCTACAATGTCATTCTCAGCGCGGGTATACTCTTTGTCTCTGCAGGTCAGGAAAAAAAGCACATATGTTCATCACATGTTAACAATCCTCATGTAAAAAAAAAAAAAAAACAAGCAGGTTATTACAAGCCATAGTTATGTTTTTATTGTTTGGTGAAGTCAGGCGTATTACAGTATTACAGCACATAGAGCTACAAAGTCCACGTTAGGTGGAGGAGGTAGGTGTGTGTGGGTGGGTTGACAGAGCGCAGGACTTTCACACAGGAGACTGTTGCTTGTTTCCCATTTCAAAACTGATAATTTTCATTGATTCCGTTAACCGTGACTATTCCATTGTTTCCATTGTTACCATGACAACAAAGGTCCACTCCGATCCGCTCGTATGGCTCATATCTGTGGGTAGGGTCAAGCGACCTCTGTGGTCATGTAGGTAGGAGGATTTTAAAATCTTTTACTTGTTTATAAAACACTTTGTTGTTTTGCACCAGCCTCTATGAATTAGGATGATGGATGAGCCTGTGGCACAAGTCTTTTAGTTTTTCTAAAATGCAGGACTGAAATATTCAGTGGGCCATATTTTAGTTTTTATGCTGCGAGCTGGTGAAGAGCCTGCAAAAAGATCCGGGAGCAGCCTGAAGAGTTGACCCTTTACCCCTTTAGACTAATCTGTGAAGCACTTTGAATTGTACTTACCTGTAAAGTAGCTATACAAATAAAGTTTGATTGATGGATCGTGTCCTTCCCTCTAAACTCTCCCAGGTCTCAGTAACATCATTGGCATCATTGTGTACATATCAGCCAACTCAGGCGACCCCAGCCAGAGCGACAACAAGAAGAGCTACTCCTACGGCTGGTCTTTCTATTTTGGGGCTTTGTCCTTCGTGCTGGCTGAGATGGTGGGCGTCCTGGCAGTGCATGTGTTCATAGAGAAGCACAGGCAGCTGCGCACGAAAGGTCGGCCTTCCCTCATCAAGCCACCCATCTCCCGTAGCTCATCTTACTACCGCAACCGATACTACCAGAACCGCAGCCGCCGATACAGTTACAGGAGCAACCACAGCGCGGGGGACTCCACCTCACACTCTTTTCGAGCGTCCTTGGTGCAAGAGCGAGAGCCGTCCCTCTCCACCGAATCCAAACTCACCGGCATGGCAGCGCCACTGACAGTGGGCTCAGAGTTCATGCTTTACACCTTAACCTCGCCACTCAAAGACGGTAAGATTGACGTGGCTGTGGATGATTTAACTACTGCAGTCGCTCACAACAACACAGACATTCTGCCTGGAAACTGTGCTGCCAACAGAAGGACCACGCCTGTGTGAGCGGAGATGTTCAGTGATAAAACACAAGAGGAACTTGAGTGAGAGGAGAACATTAAATAAGAGGAAATCATCTCACTTCCAGGGTAAAAGAAAGAGGAAAGACTTTGGATATTGGCGTAGAGGAGCATCAACTAATCTGTTTATTTGTAGTCGATGTTTAGTCGATGAGATGTCAGAAAACTGTGAAAAATCCCAATTCCAATTTCCCAGAGCCCAATGTCACGTCTCTAACTAGTTTGTTTTTTCAATTCATAATATTATAAAACAATGAAATTCAGCAAATCCTTATGTTTGAGATGCTGGAATCGGATCAAATGACAAAAACGATTTTTAAATGATCAAAGTAGTTGCTGATTATTTCTGTTAGTCAACTATCATTCAAGCTCTAGACTGAAGCAAACAGTCTCTTTCATCTACTGTTGACAAGGTCTGAGAAACAGAGATGCAGTAAAGAAGAACACAATTTTGAGATCTACTACTTTCTTGCTCTTCGTATGTCACTTTGCTATGCTATTGCATTAGCTGTGTCTACTGTATATCTGTAGTGTGGGTGACTGAGTGTGTATAGTTTTAGGAATGTGTGTGTGAGACACACAATCATGCAGAGAGAGACAGAAATGAGCAGCATCCATTAAAATAAGAAACTATTACATAAAAAAACAAACACACACACATACACCAACACACATACATGTGGGATTGACATAACTATGTCCTGTTCCTGTCCTCCTTTTTGTGGACCTAAGCACAAAATCGAAACCCATTAAATGCATTAAAACGCTATCTGTCTCTCACTGTGTGTGTTTGTGTGTCACAGTGTGTCTTGTGTAAGCATGTGAGCATGCATAAGTGTACCAAAAGGATTCTGCCCATATGGTTGTACCACTGAGTCTCTGTTTACATCAAATAAAGCTCATAAATGAACAGAATCGCTCAAGATGTGCTTCAGAGAGAAACAAGAGTGGTGTGGCATTGCTTCTTTTGTGTCGTACAGGGCATGTCTCAGGTGTCCGTGTGTACATGAGAAAGTGAGAGAGAATATTCAAATATCTGTCCTTGCATAAGTGGGCACAGAAGCAAATGTCCAAGCATAGTGCAAATATATAAACAGGCACAAACAATTTATCAAAATTAATGGATGCCCCTGTACTGCAAAAACATTAAGGCCCTCGTGTGTGAACATGCATGAGTAAGCTGTGTTAGAGACAATGGCAGCGGAACAGCAGGCGGACTAGGAAACTTGATGGGTTACCATGGCAGCGGCGGCGGCATGATTCAGGCAAACATTCAAGGCAGTTGTGCTATTGGATTCAGATCAGGTGAGGCCAGTGAAGTACATCTCATCCATGAACTCATCGTCAAGTTCATGAAAACTAGTTTGAGCCGATTTTGCTTTGTGGCATAGAGCATTATCATGATGGATCATTAGAAGATGGTGAAGGGGTAACAGTCCACTTCACTTCAGAGAACATATTGGGTGGAATGGGTTCTCTCTGTTTTCTCTTCTTTTGCAAGTCTGTGTGTTGTGCTTGTGTTCAGATATATACATGAGAAAACTCTGGCAGCGGTGGGATTCGAACCCACGCCCCCAAAGAGACTGGAGCCTTAATCCAGCGCCTTAGACCGCTCGGCCACGCTACCTGTATAAAACAGGTGTAAGACATCTGATTCCATCGGTCTATATGAAGTTTTTATGTAGGATGTGGTAATAAGTAAGAGTGACATTGAAGGGACACACTGTATAATGTACATATAAATGTAGGATGATAGTTAGTAATGCTTTGCATTGTAGCTGCATCAGTTGATTGATTTATTCATTGACTCAATAAGTGAATGAATATTCATGAATGTACAGTTGGTATGTGCTAAATTCGCACCTGTTGTTAACATGGAAGCCAAAATTATAGAAATAATGGAAAGTGTGGAAAACCTATACAACAAATTTAATAGACACTAAGAATGTATTTTATGTTCTTTGAATATATGACACAACAAACCCATCACATATACTACAGTTGCCTCATCAAGCATACATATCATTGTAGTTTCAAAGACAACCCATCTCCACTCACAACCTAAGTATGAAGTACTATATTAATCACACATGTAATTTCAAGTGAATTTACTTTAATGGTTGTTATAGTTTCTGAGATTTACATGATAAAACCCTGGCAGCGGTGGGATTCGAACCCACGCCCCCGAAGAGACTGGAGCCTTAATCCAGCGCCTTAGACCGCTCGGCCACGCTACCTTATAATGAAATATCAGGAATTATATCCATCACAAATACGGTATGATTTCCATATAGATTTAGATTGAAGGTTGGCTATGTTAAGCATTAAACTGCATCAGGTGATTGATATATTCATTGATTCAATAAGTGAATAAATATTTATTAAATAGTAACGTGCACTTGCCACATACTAAATCAGCATATTGTCATTATGGAGGCCAATTTCTGTCAAAATAGCAAAAAGCTGATGAAAATTTGGTCTCATAGAAATGAAAAACCTAATGTTCAAAACTACTTGATACTAAGAATCTTTTGCAATTTGGAGGCAGCACAGTCATCTCTCACTCATCTCCTAAATCCATAAATCTTGGTCTCCACCAATATGTGAGGGAAATATTTGGATCTTTAGCTAAATGCTTCACTATGATTATTTCATTTGGTTATGGGCAGGTAGTGTACAATAGAGTTATCACAGCTTTTTTTTTTTTTTTCCTTCTCTTTTTTTTTTAACAAAGCAGCTGCCTGCTGCATCTGGAAATGGGGTTGATATTGTATTGTTTTGTATTGCAAATACAGTAAAGTTGGTCAGGCCATAAAACCAATGATCTGAAAACACTAAAATGCTGCTAAGACCTGAGGTGAACTGCAGATCATTCTCTGTCCCCTTTAACACCTAAGAGATGATACATATGACCTGTAATCCCCATCATATACTCTAGTTGCATTATACTTTTTCAATACGCCCATTTAAACCCTGTTCCACAATGGCTTTTGTCCACAGCATGGTACAAGCCCAAACCTACCCCGACCCACTTTCACTTCAAGTCAATGTACATAGCAGCATGGTAGCGTTTATATTATATTATAGGAATTTACGTGATAAAACCCTGGCAGCGGTGGGATTCGAACCCACGCCTCCGAAGAGACTGGAGCCTTAATCCAGCGCCTTAGACCGCTCGGCCACGCTACCTCTGACCGTTCGTAAAAGACCTTTAAAATTGCATTCTGTCTATATGGAGTGTTGAAGTGATTTAACATCTTAAAAATAAATGAAATGATAGAAATGGTCAGATTTTCTATATTGATCATACAAAGTTTTCTACAATTTTCAACGTATACTGCGAGCACGAGGATGTTACAGTTATAGTTACACTTTCAGCATGTATAATGGTGTACGATATTGTTATAGCATGATTCTTGACAAAATCCTGGCAGCGGTGGGATTCGAACCCACGCCTCCGAAGAGACTGGAGCCTTAATCCAGCGCCTTAGACCGCTCGGCCACGCTACCGTTGGCCGTGTGGATTCAGCAACTTGTCCTTGTCGATGCATGTGCAGTGTTGAAACTCTTTCAGTTGGGGAATATGAGTTATATTCACGAGAGGTGAATATGAAAACAGTCCTTTATGCCAAATAACTATTACATTTTCCGTTTTATTCTCCTTTTATCCCAGATGACGACCCTGAAGTTACAACAGGGCTCCTTGACAACGCAATCGAAGAGCCAAAGAACACCAGGAAAACAAGATAGTTCACGAAAGCCTTGCCCTGCTAACACCAACACCAGGGTTAGTACAGGGGGCTTTCTAGAAGTTGCAATGGTCTGGAGCTCAAACAATCTAGGGTTGAGGTCAGGTGTTCTGCCTGCAACATTACTGCCTAAATTTCAAATGATTGTGATTGAGAGTGGGGTGATAATTTGTTTTCTGAGTTTTATTTAATTTAATTTTTTAAAAGCAACCTCTCATGTTTGCACATAGTTATTAGATTTCATGTTCATGTAAATGATAAGTGCAGCAGTTTTACTTACTATGGAGATTTTTAATTGCCTAAATGTTTATAATACTTTGTTGCAAAAATGTATAATGTAAATTTACACCTGCTTACATATATTCATGGTTTTGGGATTCTTACAATATTTGTATATTTTATAGTGTTTATAGTGCTCAAAAATTTACAAAAAGTGTAGAAAATCTGAAATGATAATATAAAGTGGGAAGCTGGGGGACAAACACTAAGTGTTGTTCTTGTTCTGATGGAAGTAGGGCCTCCATTTTGAAGAAGAGCGAAGATAGGCTTCTTGTTTTCATGTTTACTCTTTGGAAGAACCCTGGATACATCCGGTTCCGTCCTGCGCCATTTTGATGAAACAGCGAGGGGACGAGCAGCTTGGATCACCGAGAAGGATTTTATGGATTTAACTTGAAGAATAATCCGGACACACAACTTTACACTTTCACAGTGGAAAAGGACCTTGACCGAAGAGGAACCTTTGCGTTTTGATTGCGTAACTTGTGGATTTTGTTAGATTATTCGACAGCTAACTTGGCTAGCATTGTTAGCGTAGCAATGTTGAGCAGTGGCCGTTGGCTCTTGTTAACGGAGAGGGAGCGTTAGCTAATCTCGAGGTGTAGCATGTTAGCCTTGGCATTAGCTAACTCGCCAGTCTGACATTTATACGGTAGATTACGTTTTCAAAACTATTATTTTTGAGGTCTAACTTCGGTATATCTTGTGAACTCGTTGCGGAAGCTTTCACGCAGTTTTGTGGACTTTGTGGTGGTTCGGTAGTGTTTGTTGTGACTTGGAAAAATAAGGACTGTTTCAGAAAGGCCAAATATTACCACAAGGACTGATGTTGAGGGAACCCCAGGCCCGCTGTTAGCTTCACTAGCGGCTTGCAGCGCGGCGGCCCGGGCTTTCCACTAAGGACAATTCACGACGGACTTGCCCTCTTTTACATCCATGTAAGAAAAGATTTACACTGTGCTTCATGGACTCCCTTGGATTTCGTGGCATCCTGTTGTGTTTTATCGGACTTTAAAGAACTTACGAGGCAAACTGCGCTGCTCAATGGCGCTCTGGCCTCACACCTCGATTATTTTTCTTTGGCAATAACAAGGACTCTGTCGCCATCTGCGAGCTGAACCCTTCCCCATTTTAGCCCTTTCTTTGTCCACAGTGTTTCAGCGCATATAAACAAGGTTTACCTATTAAAGTCACCAGATTTAGCCTCCTGTGTTCAGTGTTGACGCTGTTTTATTTTGTTACCATACCAGGCCTGTGTTTTTTGTTTTTTCCTTGTGCTTGATTGACTAAACTGCTTAGACCTGTAAAAATGTCGTGTGTTCACTATAAGTTTTCTTCCAAACTGGACTACAACACAGTCACTTTCGATGGGCTGCATATCACTCTCAACGAGCTTAAAAGGCAGATCATGGCCCGTGAGCGCCTCAAGGCCACAGACTGCGACCTGCAGATTACCAACGCGCAGACTCGAGAAGGTATGTTACCATCTGACACATTGCAAAATGTGTGACACACATGTCATCCATTATTTTTGGGGACATCAATAAAGGATAGACGGACTTTTTCGTCTCCTTTAGATTTGATCACCATATCTGGGTCTGGAAAATGGGTTAGAATATATATATATATATATTTCATATTTATTGTGGTCACATCCAAGGGGCTGCAATTTAGGACTATTGTAACTATTAATGATCTATGATTTGTTTTCTACATTATTTGTTTTTTAGATGGGCTTAGGAGATTAGTCGATTGACATAATAAGAATCACCGACTATTACACTATTACATTTGATTATCATTTCAGTCTTTTTTTCAAGCATAAATAGTGAAATATTGCCACTTATTCTGATTCTAGTTTCGCAAATAATATTTTTCCTGTTTATCTCTGTCATACATTTCTTATATATACAATCAATTAACTGAAAAAATAATGAGCAGTTTAATTGATAATGAAAATAATCATTAGTAACATCTCTACTTATATAATTCTGAATGTTGGGGGGGGGGTTATCATCCAGTTCAAATGATCTTACCTGTACTGCTGTGTTTTCACAGCTTTACTTGAAATTGTGAGTTGTCATTAACTCACCCACAACTTCTGGTTTGGAGTTGAAGAACCCAAGGTCCATAAATGCCTTGTATTTTACTGAATGGATGTTGGCAATGTTGTTTAGGTGTCATTGTGTTATGTATTTGTTTCACCTCTGTTGATTTTAATCTTGTGTTTTGTAGAATACACAGATGATGAAGCCCACATCCCGAAACACTCGTCCGTGATTGTCCGCCGAACTCCAATTGGTGGAGTAAAACCTGCTGGCAGGACGTTCATTGTGTATGTATAACGTTATCACTGAAATCATTATTGAGCAGTACAGTTACTAATCATTTACAGTTTTGAATTATTAGTTTACATTACAATTCCTATAGTTTTCTTTGATATGTAGATCACAGGTCTAGTTGACAGCTACAGTTGAAAACTTGATCCTGTCCTTGGTGATAAGTTGACTGCCAAGTTATGTTAACTGATGGTTTCTTTCCGCCCCGTGTTTGTTTCTGCAGAGATCGTTCTGACACAGCTGTGGTGGGATCTTCTAGACCCGTATGTAAAACAAACCCAAAAACAACACTCTCTCTTCCTCCTCTCACCTATCACTCTCTCCCCCTCTTTCTGGCTTTAGTCACCTTTCTTGAAAACATTCTGTCAACAATGATCAAGCTCTGTGTATCTTCTGTTCACCGTGTGTTGGCTACATTTGTGTTGAGATCTCAACCTCTATATGTTATATGATGTCTTTTTTGGGGAGGGTTTCCTGGAGTCACCAAAGTTAAAGTAGTTTGTTGTTTCTCTCTAAAACAAACCTGGTTTATTGTTTCTGTTTTGAAACTAGCAGATTAAAGTTTTAAATTGTGGCTGAATGAGATGAGGTTGATAAGAGAAACAACAGACTAGCCACCATTGTTTTTGAATGCTCTGAACTGACCAATTGTTGAACTGTTGCCACTTTATAATTGAGAAATCATTTAAACTGTTAATGACTGTATTTCATAATGAAATGGTTTTGTAGCCTGCTTCAGGCCAGGCAAATGTATTCTAAAGGGGTTTGTAAAAGGAAAACATGGTATTTTTGTATTGATAATTCATTGTCATTTTATTTTCTGTGAAAATATTTTATTTATTATGTGGTTTAAGAACCCAGTGAAGTAAAGTGTGGCTGGGATTGATTGTAATTAACTTTGATTACAATTACAAGACTAAGTTTGTGTGGGTGGAAGAGACTCGCCAGTGATTTTTATTTTGAAAGCTTACCCTGCTAAACTTTAATATACTCAAATCTGTTGTGCAATAACATTTACCAATGTCATTTGTTTTGTCTTGTACAATTTCACCCTGAAGATGTTCTATTCTGCTTTACGTATGGACTGCGCATAACCCTTAAACCTTAAAGGCTCACAGATTTCATCCTACTGAGTTAAATGCTTTGAATTAATTCAGATTCTTAAGTGTCTGTTTTGATAAGAAGCAGGTACTAGTTCAAAGTGTATTGTTACAACTTTGGTTTGGGGCATCAGTAAGAAGTTAGTTTTAATAAGTGAGATGCTGTGACTTGGTCACTGACATAATGCTGTGACATGATCACAAAGTACAATGACACATCAGTAAAGTAAACATCTTGTCAATCTTTTGAGGCCTTCCATGGTTGCTGCAGTGAGAAGTATACTGGTGTAGTGTGTCCTGTAAGCTGTAAGCTGCAGAACCTGTCAATAAAGTTGTTCAGTGGTTCAGTGTCAGAACCGCTTGCACCAGATCCCTGTGTGTTCCCTCCACAGCATTCTGCAATACCCAGTCTTTCCTCAGAGCCCTGCATATCATGATGGACAACCCGCCCTGCCCGCTTGTTTATTTACTTTAAGATATTTTTCACCAGAAGTAGGCAGAGCAGCCTCTTTGTTGTAAAATATGACCTTTTTCTTCTCTGTGCGTGCGTGACACGTGATTCTCGTGGTTCATTGTCTCCTGACCTGCATTAGAGACATCCCTTTCTTTCACCCTTCACTCTGTAGTGGTGTATTGGCTGTTTCAGGGAACAATTTGAAGGAATACTTGACAGCTCTTGTTAGTTCTTTTTTTTTTTCAACTGGCATATTTTAAAGAAATATCTACATTTGTGCAGTACCAGCTTTATATATTTGACACTTTGATGCGTTTGCATATTTTTTAAAACTGCTTGGCATCACTCTTTGCTAGCTCATTAGTTTACAGAAAGCAGTCTTAAACTGATTTGATGAGTTTCTAACAGTCATGACAACCTCTTTCGACAAGACAGTGCAAAAATGGCAAAAGGAAACTGCATGCTAAAATTAAATGTCAAGTATTCCTTTGAGAAAATCGCCCTCTCCCTTCATAGCGGGAGAAGCTGTAGGATCTCTATAGAGGGATGTGCCAGTAGCGAACATTTTGACTTGCTGACGAAGCCCAAATAGCAAGAAAGCTTTGATGCTCTTGTACATTACCATTGTAGGAGGTTATAGGCTCAGAATATCAGCAGGTCTAGACTTGTGTATATATGGAAGAGTAGTCACAGTAAGACTTTGCTTTACTTGTTAAATGTTAATGCAACTTAATTTTTATGCAGTTTAGTGGTGTGGAGCTCTTAAGGATTTCCATTCAGTCATAAATGTGTTTTTATTTCAAATTTTTAGAACGATTTTGTAACAGTAAATCTTAATACTTTTATATCGCCTGCCGTAGGAAAAGACGTTACCTTCAGCATGAATATAGGTTTTAAAAAGTAGGGTTACTTAATGGAGATAAAACTTTGTTTAAAAATTACTTAATTTATTCCTATTTTGTTGATTACTTTCCTATATTTGGGTAATTTCTTAATTTATTCCTCCAGCAGTTAAGATTTTTTCCATGTAAACAGCTGTTAATAGACACAGCTGTAGATGAGCCTTTTGAAGGCATTAACTTTTTCCAGATCATGACACAACTCAGTAGAGGGATGAAGTTTGTGCAGGAGCGTAGTAATCATGTCTAGATGTAAATGCTCACTGTCGTACTTGCATTATTTCATGCGCTTTGAGTGCTCGAAAGAGGCCTTGATTTTCGTGCAAAGACTTATATGGAGACTGTAGGGGACTGGACACAGATTTGGTGGGGAACTATCTGGGCTCTTCCGATGTATGTCAATTAGATATTGTGTTAACACCTTTTATATCTGTACTCTGATTCTCCTGCAGACTGATTCTTCTCCTTCTTTGTCACTCGCCCAACTCGCCAAGGTAATGTTTCTGTACATGCAGGTTGTACTTGAAGAAAATATTTCCTAAGTTGAATACAAATGTCCTTTTTTTTTTCTTGAGTTTTCTTCTTGAGTTTACGTCTTACTTTTCTCTTTTTGCTCCTCTCTTTGTTACGTGTTGTAGACTGCTAACCTGGTGGACGCAAATGCATCAGAAGAGGACAAGATTAAAGCCATGATGTCTCAGTCCAACCATGAATATGACCCGATACAGTTAGTACACACACACGCACACACACTTTCCTCTTGTGCTTGATTTAAGTTAGATTTTTTTGCTCAATGTTTTAAATCGCAAATCAGTACTGAACAACATTCTCTAGCTGTAGATAGTTTTAAAAGATAAACTCTACTTGTCTCTCTGTAGTTACTCCAAGAAGGCAGTTGGACCTCCACCTGCTCACTATACCTGCTTTCGTTGTGGAAAGGCTGGTCACTACATTCGGCAATGCCCCATGCTGATGGTAATTATCATGTGCCGTTTTATTTTAATCGTCTACCAAGTTCATTTTTCCCTACATTGCAGTGTAATCCCTACGAAAGTACTGACATTAGGTTTTCGAATCGTGATGATCATTATGTCTGTCATTTTGTTTTGCTTTAGGTCCAGGATAAGAGTGTGGAGGGTCCCAAGCCAGTAAGGATTAGCAAGGGCATTCCTCAGAGTTTCATGGTGAAAGCAGAGCCAGGCACCAAAGGAGCCATGTTAACCAGCACCGGAGAATATGCAATACCTGCGATAGATGCGTACGTGTCAATCAAGGATGCCCACAAATACACACTATTTAGTATGCTTATATAGTTAATTAAGTAGGATCATTTTTTTTATTTGTCATAACCCATTTTATGTCCACGTCCTCCTCAGTAAGTCATTATAAATAGAAAAGATTATTGCCGTTGCTTTCTTTTTGCTTGTAACAAAGCCCTCAGAATTAAAAAAACTAAATATGTTAATACAGGGAAGCGTATGCACAAGGAAAGAAGGAGCGCCCTCCCTTTGTTCCACATGACCAGTCATCATCTGAGGACGATTCAGACCCAATCCCTGACGAACTCCTGTGTCCAATCTGCAATGACCTGATGACAGATGCTGTAGTTATACCCTGCTGTGGAAACAGTTACTGCGATGATTGTGAGTTGTTACTTGAGATGTACATTAGTAATAAAAATCTCAATGTGCAAAGGTCCCAGGCAATGCTACATTTGTTCAGACTCATTTTTGATGGGCTGAAAATTCTCTTGTCCTTTTGTTTCACAGTGTATTGGTATGATTTCAAGCCGTTTGATTGTCATAAGTTATAAGTTATTGTTTTAACAATGAATTGGACATGATGTACTTAGAAATATGTAGACTAGACAGATTGAGGGGAAGTTCATCTTTTCATTCGAAATGTAAAGTTAAAGTTTTTGTTTATTTGTTGGTCAAATGAAAGATTGCTTTCAACTAATTGAGTTCTGTTTTTTTCAGGTATCAGGACTGCCTTGTTGGACTCAGAGGAGCACATCTGCTTCACGTGCAAACAGTCAGACGTTTCACCTGATAATCTTATTGCCAACAAATTTCTGCGACAGGTAACCACTTTTGAACCATTTTGATGTATTTTTTTGGTTTATTTTACTTGAACTCAGAGCAAAACTAAAATATAATGTCTTTTTATATAATGTATCATCTGTTTATTGTCCTGTAGGCTGTGAACAACTTTAAGAATGAAACAGGATACACCAAACATGCACGCAAGCAGCTCCAACACGCAGCCCTGCCACCACCGCGCCCTCAGTTGGCCAGGCCTCTTCACTCGAGACAGCAGGACCCACTGCTGCCAAGTGTCACTCACCCTCCCTCCTCAAGCGTACCCACCACTGCCCCTCAAGCACAGGTCCAGCCCCCTGCACCTGCACCGGCTTCTGCTACTACTACTACTACTTCTGCTCCTACTCCTCCTCATGCTGCTGCTGTCGAAGGTCAAGATGCTTCACCAGCCCCTGCACTTGTTGTTGACCATCATTCTCCTATGCACTCCACCAGCCAGGGTGAACCACCCCCACCTGGGTAGGTTTAGACTAAGAGAGTCTCTACACCTACATGAAACCACATACTCAAAAAGTGATGTTTAAAAGCGAAGAGCCATTTCTACTAGTCCTAATGTGTCTTGTTTGTTTTAGTGAGACAGATCCAGAACCTACTGTGACTCCAGGCTCATCAGGTACCTCAGAAAGTGGATCACAGGTGAGTCCAACTTGATCACCTGATAATGGTGTACTGCTTTGATATCTATTATTATTATTATTATTATTATTATTATTATTATTATTATTATTATTGTTGTAAACTTTACAGACTCGAACCCTTCCTTACCACATACCTGCATATCTCTGAACCACAAGCATCTAATTCTCTTTGAGGTAACTACATGTTTGTCGCTGTGATTTCTTCCACAGGGCTACCATGTCACTGTTATTGGCCATCCGCCACCCGCAAGGCCACCTCATCCATCAGGTAAGAGGTTCAATTCAATTTAGAACATTTAAGGAGCTTAAGTGAGCTTGAAGGGAAGACATTCAGCAGCTAACGAACTGTCTCTCTGCTCTATTAGGTCACCAGTCACGCCCCCACCACTCTCACAGAGGGGGAGGCAGACACTGGGAGAGGTAAGAACCGTCTATGGGAGTATCTGATCAATTTAAAAGTTTGTATTCTATTATATCGGCCTCACAATGCTTGATGTCCCTCTCTTTGTACCAGGTCTTACAGAAGTAGAGGAGAGCACCCCCCGCCTCACCTCCAGACGGCTCCACCGCCTGCACCTGTTCCTCCAGTATACCCATCTCCGTCCCTGTACCCGCCCCCACCACAGCCCTACCCCCCTCCGTACACCTCTGGCCCCGGCCTCATCGCTCCCCCTGCCATCGGTTACCAGCCCCAGCCTATTTATGCCCCTGGACCGCCGGGGCTGAACCCTCCCTGGGTTCCCCCTGGTACCCAGCCCCCTCTAGCACACCTTGCACCCTCCCTATCTCAGCCCCCCCTGTCTAAGGACGATTTCTACAGACCGCGGCACCGACCTGACAAGTGAGCGGCTTTTCTTTGTTTTTGGTTGTTCAAAAAGCTATGGCAGCTACTGATTGCTTATGTGGAATTTACACATAGAATATTACTAACACCACCCACAGTTGGGATTATCAATTCAGTAAGAGGAAAACTCTTGGAGTACTTTTGAAAGTTTCAGTGTTCTTGTCTTTGTATCCACAGAGTTACATCCAAACTGGATGAATTTACTCAAGACTTCCACAAAGAGCTTATGAAGTACAGAAATCCACCAAAGAGGCGAAGGCCGTCTTATTCCAGGTAACTTCATTAAGAGGACATATCAAAATTGGTTTTAGTTCTTACAGTAATTACATATGCATAATCCTTCAAGCCATTTGGTCCATTTTTTACATAATCTCCTTTCTTTTCTCTCTTTGTTTCCTTCTGTTCTTCTCCACCATTGCTTTTTCTAGGTCCCGGTCATACAGTCGGTCTCCATTCAGCCGCTCTCCTTACACTCGCTCTAGATCGAGATCAAGGTCGAGATCAAGATCAAGGTCCAGGTCTTATTCTTATTCCCCCAGTCGATCCCGCTCCCGTTCACGCTCCCATGGCCGGTCTTATCCCCGCTCCCCTTATTCCAGACGCAATGGACGCAGTTATGGGCGCTCACGTTCAAGGTCCCGCTCCCGCTCAAGGTCTTACGGGTATCGGCGCTCCGGTTCACCGCGGTCTCCTCCCTCCTATCGGGCCGGAGGCTGGGAGGGAGCAGAAGGAGCAGGACCCTATAGGTCCAGGTCACGATCTCGCTCCCCGGGTGGCTACAGGAGCCGCAGCCCCGGTGGACGTAAGCCACCTCCTCGGGAGATTGCACCATATGAACTGAAGGCACCAAGTCCTGGAGGCCATGAGCGCTGGGAGAGAGAACGATATCGTCAGTGGGAAAAGGAGTACGCGGACTGGTACAACAAATACTACAAAGACTATGACAACCAACATCCTTCACTGCATCACAGAGGTCGTGGAAGCAGAGACAGGGAGAGGGACAGAATGTCCCCATTATCCAGAGATTACTCACCCCAGGGGAGAGGAAGAAGAGGGAAAGAAGAGAGAGGTGCTCCCCCTCACCATCCTCCATCCTCTTCCTCATCAGGGACCAAGTCGAGTACTAAAGTCCAGAAGACAAAGAAATTGAAAAATAAGAAGAAGACTGGAGATGAACCAGAACCATCACATCAGTCAGTGGACAGAGGTGATGCTACTCCTGTCAGAGATGAACCAATGGATGAAATCCCTTCACTTGCTAAAACGCCTCCAATCTCCTCAAAGCCTCCGTCTGGCACTACAACCACTAAAGCTCTAGCTTCTAAAAGCACTGCAGCACCTGTTAAACCCTCAACCAAGGTCCCATCAAAGACTCAGTGTGATAAGACCAAGAAAGAGAAAGGTCAGAAGGTAAAGGCTAAAGTGAAGACAGAGGGTGTGAAGGTAAAGAGTGAAAAGTTGAAGAAAAAGACTGGCGGAGAAGGAGTGGTGATCAAAAAGAGAGACTCCTCATCCTCCTCGTCCTCTGTTGCTAAACCATTAAAGACCATTAAAGCCAAGCCAGAAGATACTTTCAACTCAACAGCCCCTAAAAAGGAAAAAAGTAAAAGCTCTACACCGAGGCCTGCCCTGCTTAAGACTCCTCCACTGCCCCAGAGCCTGCCTCTACCTCACCCCTCTCTTCATGATGGCCCTCGACCCAGCCACGACATTCGGGGGAGGAGAGATCTCCCATTGAGCGGTGGACTCCTTCCCATCCCCCATCAACACGGACTACAACTCCTCCATCGACCTCCCTCCCCAGGGGACAGTCGGAGGAGGATGGGAGATGAAGGTCGCTCTTTACTTGGACCTCCTCCTGGGAAGCAGAGGAGGATGGATGGGTTAGGGGGTGGTGGTGATGTCATCTCCCACTCGCACATGTCTCACCAGCCCCCACTCCACAGACTCCCACCCTCTTCAGACAGACCTGGTCTTCTTCCCCTAACAGGGAGCCGTGAAATGGGCCGGGGAGACCCAGAGCGAGGATCCATCAGGCCTCTAATGGACCTGCAGGTGGGTCTACTGCTCGAGTAGTTCTCTGGGAGGGAACGATTTTACAGATGTGTTTATCAGTTCATACAGATGCATCTCTAGTTGTCATCTCTGTATTCACATTGGTTCTGGATGCCAAAATCAAGTCATTTTTAAGGAGAAATGTTCTGGTGCTAGGTTCTCATATGGCTTCTTCTATGGCTGTAAATTGGACAAATCTGGGTTTTGGACCTCTTGTTGGCCAAAACATTCTGTATGAATATGTCAGCTTGTGCTTTAGGAAATAGTGATGAGTATTTTTCACCATATTCTGCCATTTTATAGATACATGACATGTTAGTTGCAGCCCTGATTTTCATTAATGTTTAATTTTATTTTTCCAATCAATTAAATAATAGTTTCTGTGAGATTGATTTTATGATAATATTTATGATGTAAAGTGAATGAAATTTAAATTTCCCTTGGTCTAAGGTGACATAGATGTCAAATTGTGTCGTTTATCCAGTCCAAAACCCAAAGATAAGTTACATGTCAGTTACTTAAAGCAGAAAACCTTCACATTTGAGAAGCTGGAACCAGAGAATGTTTAGTGTATTTTGTTGATAGTTAACTAGTTATCTATCAAGATATTAATTATCAAAAATTGCTGACAGATAATTTTCTGTTGAGTGTCTTAAAAAGTATGGCTTCTGATTTAATGCCCTTAACGTTCTGTATGTGTTTTTGTCCAATTTCAGGTGAAGCCACTGACCCAGAGGAGGATCAAGTTGAACAGAGATCTGGGTAGAAAAGGCAGCACTGAGACAGCAGGCTCAGACAGACCACCATCGGGTCCTGAGAAGACGACGTCCAGCTCGGACCGATCAGCTGCTGCTAACATCTCTGAAGAAGACCGACCCAGCAGTACATCTGAAGGATCTGGAAGAAAGGAGCGGTCTGCATCTGCTGAGAGGGGAGTCTCCAGAGAGAGACCAGGGAGTGCTGGAGAGAGACTGCAGGGCTCCGACAGAGAGCAGGACAGAAGCTCCGGACTGGACAGAGAGCGAGACAGAGCTTCTGGATCAGACCGAGATAGAGAAAGAGACAGAGACAGAAGTCTGGGCTCTGACAGAGAGAGGGACAGGGTCTCGGGGTCAGGCTCACAGAAAGTAGCCGTTACAGCAGAGAGAGATGCCGAAGGAGAGAGGTCAATGAGGACAGAACGAAGGAACTCTAGTGGTAGCAGTGCAGGAGGGAGGTCAGTCTGTCTGGATAAAATGACCATCGCCGAGAAATCAGCCATCACCAGGAGACCGCCAGACCATCAGGAGAAACCAAGCGTGTCCTCTAAGGAGAGAGGTGAAGGGTCAGATAGAGCTGCTAAATCTGACAGGTTGGTGACATGAGTTTCTCTCCTGCTTATCAAACAACCATCCATTTCCATGGTTGAAAGAAAGCATGGTTTTGTCTGTAAACACAGTTGTAATATGTGTAATTATATTCTCTTATTTCCCAGGAGTGTGTCCAAGGACAGAACAGAGAGGAGTGTCCCCTCAGGAGAGAAACCAGCTGCTGCTCAGAGAGAAGGTAATTGGAATCACTGTATGAGTGCACGCATGTGTGAAGAGATGCTAACTTTGATTTTGTCTTGTGCCATCTAATTATGCATTGATTAAACCTGTGTTTCCATTACTACTCCCTCCTTTTGTTCCAGCAGTCAAAGATGGTGAGGGGTCTGTAGTGAAGAGCAAACCCAGGATCAGCCGAAAGGCTCTGACAAGCCACACTGTGAGCTCCAGGTGAGTCTGTTGTGTCTGTGTAACTAATAGACCATTTGATTTTTCATTTTAACATGTGAAATATATTTTTGATATTATATATTGTGCATTTCCTTGATGTTTTTGGATCTGCTTTGTTGTTCATTGTTATTGGTGCATTCTTGTGATCTCTCTGTTAAACCCCTGCTGCAAACCAAATTTCCTTCAGGATCATAATATAATCAAAGTTCATATAAAGTAGTGTTGCTTGGACCAACAGTAGCTTTGGGTCTGAGTTTATTTTCTGTAGCTGTTTAGCTTTAATAGTGCAACACTTTTTAAACTCTGCAGCTGCTACTGTTTAGACTGTTTTAGAAGGAATAGTTCAGCATTTAGTTTTTTGTAAATGCTAACCATATTTTCATGTACTGCATAAGTGCATTTTCCAAATTCTTGAAGTGTTTCTTTATAATCTGAGGAAAGCTTAAGGGGATAGTATACTGGTAGAATAGCTGGTTAAATATTTGCAAAAACTGCATCCTCACACATCTTTCCGACATCGTATTGGTGAGACTCATGTACAATCACTTCTGTAACTTTCCGAAACCAACGATCCAACATTCGCAACCAGTTCATGCCGCGCTTTGCCAGCTGTGTGAAGGTGAGAAATGAGCCAGGGTATGAATATCTCTCAGCTGTCTTTTCATTTGTTACACAACTATTTTTGGCACTCTTCATGTCAACAACTGAGTATATCACTATAAATGTCTCTATTTGAAAATGTGCACCGTTATCCCCATTTTTAAATATCACATCTCACCCCTTCTACGACAGCTGGCTTTTCACCTTGGCTTCACATTCGATTTCTGTTGTGGCACTAGTTCTGAATGAGTTTTGCCTTGGCCCCTGGACTTCCTATGTTACATGAGAGAAAGAGAGCTGAACAATTAATTAAATTAATTGGCACCTATTTCGATTATCAGTTAAATAATTTTAAATGATTAATTGATCAGTGCCAAAGTTTGCCTAGTTCCACCTTCTTTAGTTGTGTGGATCTGCTGCTTTTCTTTGTATGATGTGACTGTGAGAGTTGATCTTTCCTTATCTTTTGGTTTTAGACTATTGATTGAAAAAAAAACAAGCAATTCAAAGATATCACCTGGGGTTTTGGTTATTTTTAACCTTTTCTCAGATTTTCTGACATTTTTTAGATAAAATCAGAAAAAAAAACGTCAGATTAATTGATAAGTGAAATAATTGTTAATTGCAGCCCAAGGAAAACATTTTTTTTTTTTTTTTTAGCAATATGTTAATATTTCTCAAAGCAAGGTATCAAAAAAAAGTATCATTATGGTATTAGTACCAAAACTGAGGTATCATATCAGCACGAGCACTGAAATATTTCAAACTATACCGAGCCTTATTGTTTGTTGTGTGAAGAAGATTGATTGTACATAACCAGTCATGTTCAGTCACCTTAAACGTTTTTCCTCAACCGTAGGTCAACTCAGGAGACAAAGCGGGACTCAGAAAAAGACCAAAAGAGTGTGTCCTCTAAACCGCCAGAGCTGCCTCCGTGTAGCCCTGTGAACAGCCGTGACCGCAGCCCAAGTGTCAGCCCATCACCCAGCCTGGTCAGGGAGGAGCCACTCATTCAGCCCCCCCCTCGCTCCAAGTGGGAGAGAGAGGATGACGAAGAGGGGCAGGAAAATGGAGTTAGTGCACCCAAGGAGCCCTCACCACCGCCTCAGAGGAGCCGAGGCAGAGACGGGCAGACTGACGCACTTAAACCTGTCAGGAGTGAAGGCCGGGATGCCATAAGGGAGGAGAGGAGAGGAGTAGTGAGGGACGACAGGAAAGGAAGAGCACCAAGGGAAGAGGGTAAGGGTGGCAGGGTGGCACAGACAAATTCTGACAAACCAAACAAAACGAAAATTGCGAGGGAGGAGGGAAGAGGGGTAAGAGAAGAAGGGAGAGCTCCAGCCAGAGAGGAGGGGAGAGGAGGAGGAGGAGGAGGTGGAAGAGAGGAGGGGCGAGGGGTCACAGGGAAGGAGGAGAGATCAGCAGAAGGCAGAGGTGGAGGAGGACGAGAGGAGAGTCGTGGCCCAGAGCCAAGGAGACAACGTTTGTGCTCTGACCTGGGTCGTGAGACGGACGAGGCCGCCTTCGTCCCCGACTACAGCGAAGGTGAGGGCTCGGAGACGGAGAGAGGAAGAAGCGGCAGCCCTAGTCTGTCCCCCAGCCAACAGTCCCACAGCCCCACCCCGAGCAACCAGAGCGACACGGCAACCACCATGGGAGACAAGAAGAAGAAGAAACACAAGAAACATAAAAAACACAAAAAGCACAAGAAGCATACTGGTCAGGAAAAAGAAGGAGAACACAAGGAGCATAAGCACAAACACAAGAAAAAGAAACACAAAAAGAACAAAGACAAAGATGCAGAGGAAGAGGAGCAGAAGACGGACAAAGCAGAAGAGGAGGCTCCATGCTAACAGAGGCTAAGATAAGGCTGCTGGCCAAAATCTGTAGCCTTCTTTGTTAGTAAGGAGGCAATGATGTATCTAGAAATATCGGCTAACACTGGCATGCTGCTCCATGTGCCACTTGAGGAGAACAATGAAATGAGTCTCTGACTGTCCATGACACTGATGGAGGGCTGTTAATGGAACACTTCATATCCCTGCAGCTCTACAAACCTAAACGGTACTTTGTTGTGTCTGGGCTGCAGCGTTTTGAGCGCTGCTGAGGTTTCTTTAAAGTTAAATGTTGAACCTCTGTGGAGAGTTTGGGTCAAATAGAAAAGAAAAAAAAACCCCAGGAGTGATTCTGTGCTGCACTATTGTGATCGACCAATAGCGAGCCAGAAAGGACTTGATGATAACTGATCACACAGCAGTGAATCTAAATGATAGGAGTAACAAACTGTACTCAGGGATGTGATTGCTTCTTTGTAGAGGAGGAATTGCTGTTTCTCTGCCTCTGATTCATTTGTAAATAGAGTTGAACTGTTGCTTCACATAATTTTTCCTCAGTTTGTTTTGCTCACATCCCTCTGTGCTGTTCAAGGCTTAAATACTGGATAACCTTCATTGCTATGCTGTTGTAAGCTCTTTTTGAAGGACTGCACTAGCAGTTTTGCAGATTTGCATGTTTTAGCACATTAACTTCAAATTGTATACTTTCCGTTACAGCCAACCATTTTCAGTGTTGATAATCTCATTTTTAGGCAGCCATTGGTTTATGCCAGCTCTTCTTTTTGTCTAAGTTAATGTAAATTTAAATTAAAGCAATGAAATTCCTTTCATTCATTCATTCATTTTCATTTCATTCTCGAACAAATTACCAATCTAAGCAATTTTCCTCCCAAACTTCACAGAAATTAAATCCAATAGCTACCCAGAAGATTATGAAACCCTTTGGAAATGGTTAGCAGTAAGTTAATTGTAATTAATGGACTAAAACTTGCAAAATTACCAGTATGTTCCTTTAAAGTTGATGCAGACCATAACGCATTCATGCTACACTGGATTGTATAAAACTAGGATGTGTTTCTTAATGATGGCAGATCAGTCAGCATGTTTTTGTTCCAAAGGTGCAGTAACTGTATCATGTGAGCGAGTGAATGTGTGTGATGGTGTGAAAGTGAAATGTGACAGAAATGAGACAAATTGGGGGACTAGTGTTCTTACAAATAAGTTGTTCCATTTTTTTTAATTAAAACGTTTTGACCTCATGAAAATGTCTCAGTTGTGTTTTATCAATGTTTGAACTGATCGCACAAATGAAGCTCAGTATGCAATGTGTTGTGGAAACATTGGGCCTTAAAGTGGTACATTTATTTGTACTTAGAACTTCCCATATGGAACTGGACACCAGAAGTTACCAGTAATAAAAGACACATTGATAATGAAAGATAATACCTGTTGAAATGTAAACGCAGTGTAACCCTAATCCTGAATACTTCCTGTGTTCTGAACTCAGTCACTTTCAGCTGTGGGTAATAAGTGCACACACACACACAGTTGAATCAATGCAAATATAGAAGACTGTAAATGCTGAACTTCTAATTGCCAGCGGTCTGACACTAATCTGAACTGTAACTGGTAAACATTTTACTGTCACACTCATAACTACCCCCCATTAAAACAACAGTGGCTATAAGCTATTTCAATGTTACACATAATAATGGTTATAGTGCCGTGAGTGATAATGAAGGAACGATTAAACCCATCTCTGCAACAGTCTATCATGACACAGGTATTGTTCTAACTAAAATATATAAGTAATATTTATAAAATTAATATCAGTGTACTTATTTTTTATTAAATGGGTCTGATTTGAATAATGGTTTTCAATGCAATTAAAGCAACATGGACATAATGAGTAAACCTTCTTACACTGTTAATTATGTGCTGCTGATGATATTTGCTACAAGAAGCCCAAAGTGTGTGTGTGTTTGGGACAAGGATATAGACACGAACCACACATAAAAGTGATAAAAGAACAAAGATGTACTGCAGCACATGGGCGATCAGATATATTTGGAAATAACTGGATTTTTCAGAGAGGATGGAGTATGTCCTCGAAAGCAGTTTCCTCAGACACAGTGGTGAGTTTCAGGGTCTTTGACAGCTCATCTCTTTACAAACATGAATAATTAAAGTAAAACGTCCCAGAAGGAAACGGGTGCAATGACACAGACTGAACACTGTGTGGCGCTGTAAGTCCTGCAACTTTTAACACGGAAGGGAAACAGATTAACAATAAAAAATCTTCTCTCATATGCTTCAGTTTCAAAATACGACCCCACATGCCACTAACTCTCTCGCTCCCAGAACACATAGCAATAAGCTTCATTGTGTTTGTGTTTGTGTGTCTGTGTGTGCATGCCGTAAGTGTGTGTACCCAGTCGGAGGGATGGCGTGACTGGTGAATCACAGAGGAAACAAGCTGAAGGCAGGAGATGGGTTCACAGACGGGTTGAGGGAACACTGAGGAGAGCAGCAGATGTATTTTTCCATAAACAGCAGTACATAAAAGCACATTCTCAGTTTAGTCCATGCATTGCGTGTTTGTGTGTATGGTATATATGTATATATATGTATATATATGTATGTATATATATATATATATATATATGAGGTCATCCCTAATGGATACAGATCAGTGAAACCATTAGAGAAGATTAATATGTTGTTTTAACCCCTGTCCAGATTATCATCACAACTCATTATTCATCTCATCCACATGTGTGTCTGCGTGTCCACACATGTGCTCGCATGTGTGCACCTGTTATCTGCCTGTGTATTTGTGTGTCTGCTTGTGTTTTGTCTTACAAGCATAACATCATTTCCTGTCATCAAGGCCAAAGGTTGCTAAGCAACTTCACTTCTGCGGATTGTCAGAAAAGATGCTTCTCCACTGACCGGCTCACAGCCTAACTCTCTTATCCTCTGTCATAAGTGTAACGTCAGAGGGAAGATGTTGTCTATGTGTGCATGATTGCCCATGCATTTGTATAGACCAGTGTGCACGTATGCTTGCAAACATGGTGAAGATAAAGGTGAGAGAGAGAGAGAGATCAGAGTAGGATGTGGAAATGTATTGTCTGATAGATTTCTGTGATTCCTCGAACTAATAAAAAGGATGAGTCAGTAATGTTGCTGCACACTAGATTCCCTCCGGTGGTTTGCCTAAAATACAGCAAAATATCTGAGCATCAACAGCCTATTCTGCTAATAAAAAAACTCACTTATACAGTATCTTTGATTTCTGACTCTGACCATAACCTTTGTTTTTTATTACATATTTTTACATATATAAGTCTCACTGTGATTGCAAATTTCCTTATCCAGGGTCACAAATAAACGAAAACAAGAGGTTATGTAACAAGGGAGATAACAACTTTGTGTTTAAGAGAGACATAGAAATTACATTGTATGTTTTCAATTTACAGGGTATTATTACTGGATATCAAGATAGGAGTGAGGGCAGGCTGAGTACTGGAAACAACTCTTAAGTATAATAAGAGCACCACAAACATCAGCCTCCAGAATGACCATAAACAGTTAAACAGTTTCTCCAGTTTAATAAAATCTGAGCATTATAACCTTCAGGAATGTAGGATTAACTGTGGGGCAGTTGTATTAGACAGCATTCATTTTAGCAAGGCGTGCCTAATAAACAGGTAACTTATTGTTAATTCAACAAGGCTAAGAGTCTACAGACATGCTGGCTGCTCAATGAGGCTGTACTGAGGCAGAATGGTGCTTTGAGCTAAATGCTAACGTTAGGATGCTAATGTGCTTACAATGACAATGCTAACATGTTGATGTTTAGCAGGTATAATGTTTACCCTGTTCTCCATCCTAAAGTGTTAGCATGCTAACATTAGCACAGCTGAGGATGATGGGGACGACATTTTGCAGTTATTTGGTCATGAAATCAAAGTGTTGGACAAACAGAAATTTGGACCTGATGGGGGCGCTGGATAAAAAGGTAAATTATTACCAAAGTTATCACAAATCATCCTGTGGGGAACATGAATGCATGTGCAATCTTTGATGGTAATCCAGCCAGTTGTGCTGATATTTCAGTCAGTGGACAAAAAGTGGTGGACCAACTCAAACCCGAACAACACAATACCCAGGAATGATCATCATCTCATATTTAAATACTTATTGAAATGTTTTTTTCTAGTTCTAGTTGAAAGATACCATAACTGCTTCCTCAGAATATTAGAGCATTGTCACCCTGTTTTTCCTGCACTTTCTGCTGGTCCCTTGTATATAACCTGCAATTATTTGTGTATCAGGTACTTTTAAAAGGTACTCACAGTGTAATTGACACATTATCAATATGTACACTGTAATTGTGGGCTGTTACATTAAAATATACCACCAATGCTTCCTGCAGCGTAAATAAACATCAAGGTGAAGACTCAGAGGCAGAGAAGACAGATTGACAGTCAACAGAGACACATAATTACTGTTGTCTCCTTTGTCCCCCTGCTCTGAAAACTGAAACTTTAAGAAGTTGACACTGACACCACTGATTATGTTGTGTGTGTGTGTGTGTGTGTGTGTGTGTGTGTGTGCGTGTGTGTGTGTGCGTGTGTGTGTGTGCGTGTGTGTGTGTGCGTGTGCGTGCATGCGTGCCCTGCTAACCTCTTCGTGTACTTCTACTGTAACCAGGTCAAGTAAAGGAGTAGGCAGGCTCAGTGTCACACTGCTCATGTGTTTCTGCACATGTGCATGTACGCGTATGTACATGTATGTGTGTGTTCACCCTCTGTATCAGGATTAGCCCTCAGGTGGTTGTCATGGCAATTTCAATGATTGATCAGGATGATTGATTTGTAATCGAATTCCCACAGTGTGTGTGTGTGTGTACATTCGTGACAATGGCATGGTATAAAACGCTTCCCCATATGTAATGTTATGTGATGGTCACCATGGAAACACACCCAAGGGGCGCCTATCACACACTGATAATAATGTTTGGCCTAGATACCCATCCTCAACCGATCACGTAGGGAATGTATTTCTGCGTATACGTGTGTGTGTGTGTGTGTGTGTGTGCGCATGCATTTTAGTGACTAATGTAAACCAGCATTTGAACACACCACAGTGACAGAGCTGGAGTAAAAAATGCATGAAATGATTCTGTGGAGCAGAAAGAGTCTTGCATGAGTTACACGAGACAGTAAGTGTGAGAAGGATGAGACGAGCTGGAAGGAGAGGGAAAACGAATGGGAGTGGGAGTGGAAACACACAATAACAACCTATTACTACCAGCGCACACACAAACACACATTGCCCTACACAGAGGCTTCCTACCGTGCTTATCGGTTTTCTTCACTGGAAGAGATGGAGAAGTCTGTGCGAGTGTTTGTATGGTTGAATGTGTCCTAGATATCTTAAACTGTATTCTTGAGATACACTTAATGTTTGATGTATGCTGCTGCTGTAAGAGTTATGATAGCTGCGAGGAGTCTGTCTGCTGTGGGCGTTGATTGGGTATTGCACGGTGTTTCCCCGCTCTGAGTGAAAATCTAATCTTAGTTTTTAGCCACACTAGCAGTGAGACATGAGGCAGTGTATGTCAGTTCCTCAGCCTGCTGGTTTGTCTCTGTATCAGTTCAACATCCAGAACGAAATAAGTAGATATGAGTAATATTTGATGCAGACGTTCGAAGCCCCAGAAAATGAATCAGTTTGACTTTGGCCATCATCTGGCTTTACATCTAGCACCACTAACTGGTCACAATTTCTTGTCCACTTTATTTTATGATAAGATACACATGGGTGACAAATTAAAGAAAAAAACAAAACAACACGAGCCACCACTTTGTCATAGATTTTCAAAATTTCTGGAGCTCTACAGAAGGGATGAACCCCATATTCCCTCATTGGGTGTTTGGAGAGCGCTGTTGAACTAAAATAATATTGGTGCTCATTAAACCATTTAGTGACCCCTTGTGCCCTGTATGGAGGCATCTGCATTAGTTGTGTTTCTACACTTATTTATTCAGGCTTTTAATTGGCACCAAACTGTACTTATAAACTAATGACCAAAATCCCTTCAGCCTCAGTTGTACTTTGGGATTCATGCTAACATAATACGCTACACTAAAATTAGAGGCTCTGCCTTATTGTGTTACAGTAACACACTTACATGCTAAAATTTGCAAGCTAAGACAAATTTAGCGGGCTAATAAGCTATCA